CCCCAAACCCAAACCCAACCCCAAACCCATACATAACTACTATGACCATCTAATTTGGCTTTTTATAATACTGTTTTAACATCCCATAATCTGATTGACTTTATGCACTACCAGATGCTAAAGTAGTTCCATCAGGTGAGAAGCATACTGACTTGTAATTAATACAACCCCCCAATTAATTTAATTCATTGGTTTTTATGTTCCTCCACTTACAATTCAACATTAGAGCTCCATTCAACAGCACTCTGGTTACATCTTTAAAAATTTGCACCAATCAAAGAAGTATTCTTTAATCAGATGTTTTCAAAGTTATGGTTAGTTCAAATAGCCTTCCTGCCTACTAATAAATTAAGTCCATTTAAACCACATTGAATAAATTTTAAATCATTGCAAGTGAGATGAACTAATAATTTTAGAAAATTAATAATTTCCTTATTTCCTGCAATTTTCTTCATTAGATTTCATCTTTCCTCTTCATACATTTCTGTGGAAATGTCATTTTTACTAAAAGAATGATCTTAAATATTTCTCAAAATATTTGTGATCTTAATTATTTACTTTTTAACTTTCATAAAGTTTTCAATCTAATTTGAAAAACTTTAAAATAACTTTTCATGATCTTTCTTTTCAAAAAATTCAAGAAAATCCAATATTTATTTTTTCTGAGAATTTCAATTACAACTTTAAATAGATGCTAAAATTTTATATAATTCTTTTTTCCTTAATAAACTTCCCCTTCATTTTAATTAGATTCCATCTAATGCACTACTTAATTGTTTTTTTAATTATTGAATTTCTATTACTTTGATTATGAGTAGTTAAAATGAGAATTTGAAATCAGTATATTTTAAATCAGATTAAATTATACATATTTTATCTTTAAGTTATTAGAGTTGAATATATGAAAAAAAATTTTTCATTATATTCAAATGAGATTATTTATTTTTCTGACATTTTTTCCCTTTCCTTCTTCATTTATCATCATTGACGCTTCCTTTTACATATTTCATTGCTGTTTATACTGTTGATTATTATGCTAAGACTTTCTAAATAAAGTTGTTAAAAAAAACAAATCACCTTTAATAATTCAATTTGATATATGAATTTCTTTTTTTTTAAAGGATGAAAAAATTTTTTTTCTCTTTGTGAAAATTTTTTTTTTCTATCATAAAATTTTTTTTCTTAAAACATTATTATCTCACAATATTTCATGTTATGTTTGAAAATAGAATTATTATAAAAAACAAAGATTTAATGTTCACAAGGTTATTTAATTTCTCTATTAAAGTCTTCCTAACTTTAAGTTTCCAAAATAACTTCCTTTAAATTTTAATAATAATTGACATATTGTCATTTTGAATTCAAAGCACCTTTGTATATCTTTTAATTTCAGAATGATGCTCTGACAAAATGATAAAAATAAATTTTAAATTTCTAATAATTAAAAATGAAAAAAGAAAAGAAAGTCGTCAAGGCAGTATCTTGTTGGATCGTCCTTAGGAAAATTATGAAGTGGATTAATATCCTTTTCTCTTTGGCGGTGGTAGGTTTAGGTAATTAATCAATTTATGAAAGGAATCTATAAGTATACAGATGGCAATTTTAACAATTTTGCAGATGTGTTCATTCCATTCTATTTGATAGGATTTGGAGTTTTATTAATATTTGCAGAAGCAGAATGGATAATATTAATCAAGCACTTTAAATTTTTAGATAATTATTTTGGAAGGTATAGATGACACAATATTATTAGAGGGTTTTACAATATATTTTTGGGAACAATGCTTCTAAACATCATTAGTATTAATACTGAAGGTGATGCTGATAGAAATGTTACCTGGGTATTGGTCGTTATTGTTTCTTCAACCATGGCTTTTGTTGGAGTAATGGAGATATTTCTCTATATTTGCCACTGTGGAGCTACAAGTAAAACATACGCAAAATATGATGAAAAATAAGATTTGAATAAAAAACTCTTAAAGGAAGAGGATACCCAAAAAGTTTCCTAAAATGTTCGTAGTGAAATCGATATAAGATATTCTATGTCTCTAAAACCCCAAAACTCTGTTTTACCATAATAGCAATAAATGCCAAATTAAGATGATTAAAATCCTGCAATGTATTATACATCAGAGCAAATCTACAAAATGTAGTAAAATCCAGAAGAATATTCCATATGGCTCAAGTAATAGTTAAAAGCGACAGAATCAAAGTTGCCATTAAAGTAAGCACCATTAGGAAATTCTTATTTATGAATAATCATATAAATTAAATTATGAATATGAAAGTTACCTTCTTTGGATAAAATTATGAAGGATAAGATGGGTTAGTCAGCAGTTTTATTTTATAATCTAAGTAAAAAATAAATTTTTGAGCTTAATTTTAGTTGATAAGTTTATTTCTGCTCTTAAAAATATGGGGGAATGAAATTTGAAAAACATCCATCAAGTAGCTAAATTTAATCAATATATTTGATAAAGGATCTTTTATTTGCTATATTGAGCAGTAAAGGCTTATATATTTAAAAAGTTATTGACACATTATTAAAATCAAATTTGAAAATCAACNTAAAGGATGAAAAAATTTTTTTTCTCTTTGTGAAAATTTTTTTTTTCTATCATAAAATTTTTTTTCTTAAAACATTATTATCTCACAATATTTCATGTTATGTTTGAAAATAGAATTATTATAAAAAACAAAGATTTAATGTTCACAAGGTTATTTAATTTCTCTATTAAAGTCTTCCTAACTTTAAGTTTCCAAAATAACTTCCTTTAAATTTTAATAATAATTGACATATTGTCATTTTGAATTCAAAGCACCTTTGTATATCTTTTAATTTCAGAATGATGCTCTGACAAAATGATAAAAATAAATTTTAAATTTCTAATAATTAAAAATGAAAAAAGAAAAGAAAGTCGTCAAGGCAGTATCTTGTTGGATCGTCCTTAGGAAAATTATGAAGTGGATTAATATCCTTTTCTCTTTGGCGGTGGTAGGTTTAGGTAATTAATCAATTTATGAAAGGAATCTATAAGTATACAGATGGCAATTTTAACAATTTTGCAGATGTGTTCATTCCATTCTATTTGATAGGATTTGGAGTTTTATTAATATTTGCAGAAGCAGAATGGATAATATTAATCAAGCACTTTAAATTTTTAGATAATTATTTTGGAAGGTATAGATGACACAATATTATTAGAGGGTTTTACAATATATTTTTGGGAACAATGCTTCTAAACATCATTAGTATTAATACTGAAGGTGATGCTGATAGAAATGTTACCTGGGTATTGGTCGTTATTGTTTCTTCAACCATGGCTTTTGTTGGAGTAATGGAGATATTTCTCTATATTTGCCACTGTGGAGCTACAAGTAAAACATACGCAAAATATGATGAAAAATAAGATTTGAATAAAAAACTCTTAAAGGAAGAGGATACCCAAAAAGTTTCCTAAAATGTTCGTAGTGAAATCGATATAAGATATTCTATGTCTCTAAAACCCCAAAACTCTGTTTTACCATAATAGCAATAAATGCCAAATTAAGATGATTAAAATCCTGCAATGTATTATACATCAGAGCAAATCTACAAAATGTAGTAAAATCCAGAAGAATATTCCATATGGCTCAAGTAATAGTTAAAAGCGACAGAATCAAAGTTGCCATTAAAGTAAGCACCATTAGGAAATTCTTATTTATGAATAATCATATAAATTAAATTATGAATATGAAAGTTACCTTCTTTGGATAAAATTATGAAGGATAAGATGGGTTAGTCAGCAGTTTTATTTTATAATCTAAGTAAAAAATAAATTTTTGAGCTTAATTTTAGTTGATAAGTTTATTTCTGCTCTTAAAAATATGGGGGAATGAAATTTGAAAAACATCCATCAAGTAGCTAAATTTAATCAATATATTTGATAAAGGATCTTTTATTTGCTATATTGAGCAGTAAAGGCTTATATATTTAAAAAGTTATTGACACATTATTAAAATCAAATTTGAAAATCAACCTATGGAATGAAAGAAAATTTTAAATAATACAAAGCGGAAATGAAATAACAGTTTTGCTTTGCTGTAAAATGTTAATGATAGAAAAAATGTTGAAGTTTACAATTAATATTATAAATATAAAAAGTTTCAATGTTTATAACAAATAAAATTCGAAAAAAGATATGCATCCTAATTCTCAAGTAATTAATGATAAAACACTCAATATTTTTGGGAATATTTAATTAAACCCAGGAAAACTTATAACAGGAATTTTTTGAATAATTAAATGATATTATACATTTATAAAGCATCACCTTCGTTCAGTTGCTTCAATTGATTTCAAGTTATGAATTTTAAGAGTTTGTTTATTGATTTTCTAATTCCAGATTATAAATAAACCTTATTTTTTTTGAATAATTTATGGGATTATTACCAATGAAAAAAATGTTAGCAATTTTAATTTGAAAGCCACAGATTTGATTTTGTCTTTTAATTTCATTATTATTTTATTTTATATTAAATTCATCTCTTTCTCTTATAATCTGCTACAAAGTTGGAATGCAGGAAAGAATACAATTAGTTATTCGTTTTGAGGTGAGAACAGCAAAGAATTGATGAATCAATCTATCTCGTTCTGGCGATTCTTCCACTATTCTTTTATACATATAGTATTTTAATTAATTCCAGATTTTCTCTATTGGGTTCATCTAAGGAGAGCATGGTTGTAAAAATTAGTAATGCACTGCACCTAATAACTGCATTACTCATTTACTCTAATGTATTGGACTATTATCTAGAATTAATACATAATTATTTTCATCATAGAATCCGTTCAATTCTTTAATTAAACAAAGTAAATGATAAGAATAAATCTCAGCTCTTACATAGCCCTTTAATAATTAAAACCCCGCAAAGCCTTGCATTTCAATTGCACCTAAGGCACATCATTTTCCTTTTTCTTTTCATTATTGTTTTCTCGATTTATTTCTCGCAAAACTAAAACTCTGAAATTGAGACCGATAAAGAATATGTCTTTAAATTATAAAGAATACTGTGCTTAAATATAATATATAAAAATAATAATGTTCATAATTTTTGCTGCTTCTTTAAAATTGGACTCTCTTAAACTTATTATTAAGGCTAAACTATCAAATTTTAAAGTTTCAGCAAATAATTTCGTATTTTCTCTTCAATTTTTTCAGATTCTAGTTTTTTCTATTTAGTCTACTATTCACACGAGTTACTTTTTATTTAGTTAAATATATTTTCCTTTCATTTAGCTATTTAGGATTTCTCTTAAAAAATTTTAATGGCCTTTTCTACCGAAAAAAGTATCAAGTGTTTTAAGAATGCTAATATAATGAATATCACTATAAATTTACTTAAGATCATCTCTTGCGATTCCAATCACTTTTTCTGAATCTAAATATAACTTAAATACATCATTTTAATCATTAAGAATAAATAATACATTTACCATCCATTGTTTATCTCGAAGTCGATCAATGTTAAATCGAAACGCAATCTACTTTTATTAACAAATTTTATCCAACTCTTCAAATAATTTGAGTTTGCTTATATTTTTAAACAACTAGCCAACTTTTACTTCATTTTTTTTGTACGAAAACATAGCCCTAATGCAATGTTAATACATATTCCCTTAAGAAGATAGATCAGGCATATAATAACTAAAGAGTATGGATTGATTCGATAGAACTCACAATGTAATTGATTTCTTGAAAGGAAACTGATGCCTAAATAATACTTAATAAATGATAATGATTTTTCTTCTAAAATTAAGTTAAACCATTATCTTTATTTACCATGTTATTTCGTTTCTAAATTCAAAAAAAAAATTAAATTAAAAATAATTTATTTAGGCAATGAGAATTTTAATTTAATTAATATAAACTATAAAGGATGAAAAAATTTTTTTTCTCTTTGTGAAAATTTTTTTTTTCTATCATAAAATTTTTTTTCTTAAAACATTATTATCTCACAATATTTCATGTTATGTTTGAAAATAGAATTATTATAAAAAACAAAGATTTAATGTTCACAAGGTTATTTAATTTCTCTATTAAAGTCTTCCTAACTTTAAGTTTCCAAAATAACTTCCTTTAAATTTTAATAATAATTGACATATTGTCATTTTGAATTCAAAGCACCTTTGTATATCTTTTAATTTCAGAATGATGCTCTGACAAAATGATAAAAATAAATTTTAAATTTCTAATAATTAAAAATGAAAAAAGAAAAGAAAGTCGTCAAGGCAGTATCTTGTTGGATCGTCCTTAGGAAAATTATGAAGTGGATTAATATCCTTTTCTCTTTGGCGGTGGTAGGTTTAGGTAATTAATCAATTTATGAAAGGAATCTATAAGTATACAGATGGCAATTTTAACAATTTTGCAGATGTGTTCATTCCATTCTATTTGATAGGATTTGGAGTTTTATTAATATTTGCAGAAGCAGAATGGATAATATTAATCAAGCACTTTAAATTTTTAGATAATTATTTTGGAAGGTATAGATGACACAATATTATTAGAGGGTTTTACAATATATTTTTGGGAACAATGCTTCTAAACATCATTAGTATTAATACTGAAGGTGATGCTGATAGAAATGTTACCTGGGTATTGGTCGTTATTGTTTCTTCAACCATGGCTTTTGTTGGAGTAATGGAGATATTTCTCTATATTTGCCACTGTGGAGCTACAAGTAAAACATACGCAAAATATGATGAAAAATAAGATTTGAATAAAAAACTCTTAAAGGAAGAGGATACCCAAAAAGTTTCCTAAAATGTTCGTAGTGAAATCGATATAAGATATTCTATGTCTCTAAAACCCCAAAACTCTGTTTTACCATAATAGCAATAAATGCCAAATTAAGATGATTAAAATCCTGCAATGTATTATACATCAGAGCAAATCTACAAAATGTAGTAAAATCCAGAAGAATATTCCATATGGCTCAAGTAATAGTTAAAAGCGACAGAATCAAAGTTGCCATTAAAGTAAGCACCATTAGGAAATTCTTATTTATGAATAATCATATAAATTAAATTATGAATATGAAAGTTACCTTCTTTGGATAAAATTATGAAGGATAAGATGGGTTAGTCAGCAGTTTTATTTTATAATCTAAGTAAAAAATAAATTTTTGAGCTTAATTTTAGTTGATAAGTTTATTTCTGCTCTTAAAAATATGGGGGAATGAAATTTGAAAAACATCCATCAAGTAGCTAAATTTAATCAATATATTTGATAAAGGATCTTTTATTTGCTATATTGAGCAGTAAAGGCTTATATATTTAAAAAGTTATTGACACATTATTAAAATCAAATTTGAAAATCAACCTATGGAATGAAAGAAAATTTTAAATAATACAAAGCGGAAATGAAATAACAGTTTTGCTTTGCTGTAAAATGTTAATGATAGAAAAAATGTTGAAGTTTACAATTAATATTATAAATATAAAAAGTTTCAATGTTTATAACAAATAAAATTCGAAAAAAGATATGCATCCTAATTCTCAAGTAATTAATGATAAAACACTCAATATTTTTGGGAATATTTAATTAAACCCAGGAAAACTTATAACAGGAATTTTTTGAATAATTAAATGATATTATACATTTATAAAGCATCACCTTCGTTCAGTTGCTTCAATTGATTTCAAGTTATGAATTTTAAGAGTTTGTTTATTGATTTTCTAATTCCAGATTATAAATAAACCTTATTTTTTTTGAATAATTTATGGGATTATTACCAATGAAAAAAATGTTAGCAATTTTANTAAAGGATGAAAAAATTTTTTTTCTCTTTGTGAAAATTTTTTTTTTCTATCATAAAATTTTTTTTCTTAAAACATTATTATCTCACAATATTTCATGTTATGTTTGAAAATAGAATTATTATAAAAAACAAAGATTTAATGTTCACAAGGTTATTTAATTTCTCTATTAAAGTCTTCCTAACTTTAAGTTTCCAAAATAACTTCCTTTAAATTTTAATAATAATTGACATATTGTCATTTTGAATTCAAAGCACCTTTGTATATCTTTTAATTTCAGAATGATGCTCTGACAAAATGATAAAAATAAATTTTAAATTTCTAATAATTAAAAATGAAAAAAGAAAAGAAAGTCGTCAAGGCAGTATCTTGTTGGATCGTCCTTAGGAAAATTATGAAGTGGATTAATATCCTTTTCTCTTTGGCGGTGGTAGGTTTAGGTAATTAATCAATTTATGAAAGGAATCTATAAGTATACAGATGGCAATTTTAACAATTTTGCAGATGTGTTCATTCCATTCTATTTGATAGGATTTGGAGTTTTATTAATATTTGCAGAAGCAGAATGGATAATATTAATCAAGCACTTTAAATTTTTAGATAATTATTTTGGAAGGTATAGATGACACAATATTATTAGAGGGTTTTACAATATATTTTTGGGAACAATGCTTCTAAACATCATTAGTATTAATACTGAAGGTGATGCTGATAGAAATGTTACCTGGGTATTGGTCGTTATTGTTTCTTCAACCATGGCTTTTGTTGGAGTAATGGAGATATTTCTCTATATTTGCCACTGTGGAGCTACAAGTAAAACATACGCAAAATATGATGAAAAATAAGATTTGAATAAAAAACTCTTAAAGGAAGAGGATACCCAAAAAGTTTCCTAAAATGTTCGTAGTGAAATCGATATAAGATATTCTATGTCTCTAAAACCCCAAAACTCTGTTTTACCATAATAGCAATAAATGCCAAATTAAGATGATTAAAATCCTGCAATGTATTATACATCAGAGCAAATCTACAAAATGTAGTAAAATCCAGAAGAATATTCCATATGGCTCAAGTAATAGTTAAAAGCGACAGAATCAAAGTTGCCATTAAAGTAAGCACCATTAGGAAATTCTTATTTATGAATAATCATATAAATTAAATTATGAATATGAAAGTTACCTTCTTTGGATAAAATTATGAAGGATAAGATGGGTTAGTCAGCAGTTTTATTTTATAATCTAAGTAAAAAATAAATTTTTGAGCTTAATTTTAGTTGATAAGTTTATTTCTGCTCTTAAAAATATGGGGGAATGAAATTTGAAAAACATCCATCAAGTAGCTAAATTTAATCAATATATTTGATAAAGGATCTTTTATTTGCTATATTGAGCAGTAAAGGCTTATATATTTAAAAAGTTATTGACACATTATTAAAATCAAATTTGAAAATCAACCTATGGAATGAAAGAAAATTTTAAATAATACAAAGCGGAAATGAAATAACAGTTTTGCTTTGCTGTAAAATGTTAATGATAGAAAAAATGTTGAAGTTTACAATTAATATTATAAATATAAAAAGTTTCAATGTTTATAACAAATAAAATTCGAAAAAAGATATGCATCCTAATTCTCAAGTAATTAATGATAAAACACTCAATATTTTTGGGAATATTTAATTAAACCCAGGAAAACTTATAACAGGAATTTTTTGAATAATTAAATGATATTATACATTTATAAAGCATCACCTTCGTTCAGTTGCTTCAATTGATTTCAAGTTATGAATTTTAAGAGTTTGTTTATTGATTTTCTAATTCCAGATTATAAATAAACCTTATTTTTTTTGAATAATTTATGGGATTATTACCAATGAAAAAAATGTTAGCAATTTTAATTTGAAAGCCACAGATTTGATTTTGTCTTTTAATTTCATTATTATTTTATTTTATATTAAATTCATCTCTTTCTCTTATAATCTGCTACAAAGTTGGAATGCAGGAAAGAATACAATTAGTTATTCGTTTTGAGGTGAGAACAGCAAAGAATTGATGAATCAATCTATCTCGTTCTGGCGATTCTTCCACTATTCTTTTATACATATAGTATTTTAATTAATTCCAGATTTTCTCTATTGGGTTCATCTAAGGAGAGCATGGTTGTAAAAATTAGTAATGCACTGCACCTAATAACTGCATTACTCATTTACTCTAATGTATTGGACTATTATCTAGAATTAATACATAATTATTTTCATCATAGAATCCGTTCAATTCTTTAATTAAACAAAGTAAATGATAAGAATAAATCTCAGCTCTTACATAGCCCTTTAATAATTAAAACCCCGCAAAGCCTTGCATTTCAATTGCACCTAAGGCACATCATTTTCCTTTTTCTTTTCATTATTGTTTTCTCGATTTATTTCTCGCAAAACTAAAACTCTGAAATTGAGACCGATAAAGAATATGTCTTTAAATTATAAAGAATACTGTGCTTAAATATAATATATAAAAATAATAATGTTCATAATTTTTGCTGCTTCTTTAAAATTGGACTCTCTTAAACTTATTATTAAGGCTAAACTATCAAATTTTAAAGTTTCAGCAAATAATTTCGTATTTTCTCTTCAATTTTTTCAGATTCTAGTTTTTTCTATTTAGTCTACTATTCACACGAGTTACTTTTTATTTAGTTAAATATATTTTCCTTTCATTTAGCTATTTAGGATTTCTCTTAAAAAATTTTAATGGCCTTTTCTACCGAAAAAAGTATCAAGTGTTTTAAGAATGCTAATATAATGAATATCACTATAAATTTACTTAAGATCATCTCTTGCGATTCCAATCACTTTTTCTGAATCTAAATATAACTTAAATACATCATTTTAATCATTAAGAATAAATAATACATTTACCATCCATTGTTTATCTCGAAGTCGATCAATGTTAAATCGAAACGCAATCTACTTTTATTAACAAATTTTATCCAACTCTTCAAATAATTTGAGTTTGCTTATATTTTTAAACAACTAGCCAACTTTTACTTCATTTTTTTTGTACGAAAACATAGCCCTAATGCAATGTTAATACATATTCCCTTAAGAAGATAGATCAGGCATATAATAACTAAAGAGTATGGATTGATTCGATAGAACTCACAATGTAATTGATTTCTTGAAAGGAAACTGATGCCTAAATAATACTTAATAAATGATAATGATTTTTCTTCTAAAATTAAGTTAAACCATTATCTTTATTTACCATGTTATTTCGTTTCTAAATTCAAAAAAAAAATTAAATTAAAAATAATTTATTTAGGCAATGAGAATTTTAATTTAATTAATATAAACTACTGCCAATTAAAGTACGTTAAGTTAATAAGTGGTTAGTGAATGAATTAAAATTAAAAAAATAACTAAATTGTCTATTAAAAATAAAAACCCGTCCTCATCCAATAATTTAATAGGCAAAATAGCCACTGCTCTATCGAATGCAGAATATACAAAGTCTTAGTTAATTTTAAGGAAGATTGTTCACAAAAAAATAGAAGATTTGCCAATACACAGCTATGATGAGTGTAAAAGTGAATTGGACAAATTAATGAAGGAAAAATTGACATTCAAAAAGAGAATGAAGAAGAAGAAAAGAAGATTGTGTAAGAAAATCGTTTACAAGAAGGAGATGAATTTTGATTTAGTGAAACGTTTACGAGTATGCATAACAACACGTTAAAAATGTAATTATAGTCCAAAAGCGATAGCAGCTTCCTTATCATTAAAAAAATGATAAGTATATTATTTATAAGGTCACTAAAGTGAAAAGTAACCAGAAGTACTTTATTATAAATTGAGTAAAATGCATTTGGCTTGGATTAAAGCTAAAGGAAGTTCTTATTAATAATGAAAAAATATTGTCAAGTTACTTATAAATTGGCTATAGAGTAAGATTTACACGCTTCAAGACCTTAGTCAAGGAATATCAAATTTGATTATGCCATCAAATATTTAATTATAGTATTAATGGAATGAATTTCGTATTTTTAGAGGAAACTATTTCAGTCATCAAAACAAAAAATAAAGATGCTGGTAAATTAAGCCAGAAAACAATAATGAAAAGAAAAGGAGAATGATGTGTCTTAGGTAAGAGCTGAGATTTATTCTTATCATTTACTTTGTTTAATTAAAGAATTGAACGGATTCTATGATGAAAATAATTATGTATTAATTCTAGATAATAGTCCAATACATTAGAGTAAATGAGTAATGCAGTTATTAGGTGCAGTGCATTACTAATTTTTACAACCATGCTCTCCTTAGATGAACCCAATAGAGAAAATCTGGAATTAATTAAAATACTATATGTATAAAAGAATAGTGGAAGAATCGCCAGAACGAGATAGATTGATTCATCAATTCTTTGCTGTTCTCACCTCAAAACGAATAACTAATTGTATTCTTTCCTGCATTCCAACTTTGTAGCAGATTATAAGAGAAAGAGATGAATTTAATATAAAATAAAATAATAATGAAATTAAAAGACAAAATCAAATCTGTGGCTTTCAAATTAAAATTGCTAACATTTTTTTCATTTGTAATATTTTCATCAATCTAATTTGAGTCGTTATACATTTCGTATAACTTTTAGGAATTTCTTTTAATTTATTTTAACTCCATTTATTTTTATTTTTTTATTTGTTAAGGTTGCTGTTAATTTTATTTTTTACGCTCTTGTTTCTTGAAATGAAAAATCACATCAACTTTTTTTTATTTGAATGATTAGCTCATGAAAGCTTTGGCAACATTTTTTAATTCTTGATCATTAAATAGTTTTCAGCAATATAGAAACACAAACATATTAGTTTTTATTTTTCATTATTTTTATAATAAAAAGTTATAGTTAAATAAAAGAACTTTTTATTCAATAGATAAAAATTTACATTATTACTTTCTGCATATTAGTAAAGATTAAAAATTTATCAAGCATTTTTAATGTTTACTCAATAAAATAATAATAACCACAAAATTAGTGTGTTGCTTTAGCAGTTTTTTTTTAATGCTATTCATGTTCATTTTATCAGTATTTTTTAAAGAGATTAAAATAAACTACATTTTTATTTATATTTTAAATAAAGTTTCTAAACATATTTATTTTATTCTATTTTCTTAAATTGATTTAAATTACAATAGGAAAAATAAAGTAAATAAATTATTTTGTGATACTATCTATTTAATAAATTTTTTAATTTATATATATTTTTCAAAATATACTGCAGGGTTCTCCTTAAGCTCCTTCAGAAGGTGCATTTATAAAGTTGAGTGGGTTTTCATTTCCTCCAAAAACTTCTTAAGGAGGATCCCCTTCAGCTTGCATATTTTCAAATAGTTAAATTAATTTTTCCTTGTCATTAGGATTAGTGTTTAATTAATCAATAATTTTTTCAACACAATCTTTTTGTTTTTCATATTTTTTTAAGTCCTCTTCATTAAGTTTATTTTTATTTTCCTTGTTAATTAAATATAAATACTTAAATAAATTTGTTATAGGCATCATATGTTTCTTTCATTGGTTGTTCTAAAACATCCTTATCCATAAATTATAATAGCATTTTATCGGCCAATTCATCAAATTAAGGTGCTTATTCTAATTTTTCAAAAGTCTCTTAAAATGCCTTTTGTTATTCCCTTTGAATAACATCATAATGTTACTAGTTGTTAGGATTGATTCCTTCAAGGATATTTCCCATCATCCCTTGGAATTACTTAAGTAGTTGATCTGTTTCGATATTTTGGGTTCCTTCTCCTTTTAAAGAATTAAGGAAATTTTCACATTCCTTATTTACTGCCTCATCTTGGTTTATAGTATTAATTACCATCTTCATCATTTTGATCAGCTGTTAAATTAAGTTTATGATCCCCGTCAAGAGCCTCAGCAATATCATCCATAATATCATCTCCCTTCTAATCCATAATATAAATATTTATTTTTATGAATGCAAGGCTTTCAAGTTTAACACCTATTCGGTCCAGAGAAAATATATTAAAGGACGAATAGCAAGAGCCACACCATTAAAGAAGAACAAAAATAGTTTGTTCTATAAATGAAAAAACATGCGAAATCGATATAATTAGAGAAATGTTAAAGGCAGGTGCTAATGCACTCAGGTTTAATTTTTTCGATATATTTAAATTTTAGTATAAATACAGCTTATACTCATGATAGAAGATAATATGAAAAGTTGAAAATGATCAGGGATCAATTAGAGTTAGAATTAGATCATACTATTCCAATAAATATGATGCTATAAGGAAAAATTACAAGAATAGGTCATTTGAGAGTGCCAGAAATATACTTAAAAGTATAGAGATTATTAGATAATAGAAAGGAAATATTATTAGAATAACTTAAGACAATAAAGTAATTGGTGATGAAAATATCATCTGTGTAGATTAAGATGAACTTTTTACTTAAGCAAAAGTTGGAGATAAAATATTTATTGATTATGGCTAAGTTGTATTAAATATTACAGCTTTGGAAACAGATTAGGAGTATAATTTTATATTAAAATTGCAAAGGGCTAAATAGTTATTAATGGAAAAATATCCAGATTTGTATCCCACTGAATCCATGTTTAGAAACAGTATATTTGAGTAAGAAAAATCAGAAAAAAGTAAATTGTAGTCTAAAAGTTCTTTATCCAGTGAAAATTCAAGAAATGCTTCGTCAACATAATTGTAATCCAAAAAACAAAAATATATTGACTAAATCATTCAAAATAAAAAATAAAAGTTAGCTACAAAAAGCTTAATAGTTTTCGTATGTGAAATAGAATAAAACTGTAAAATTCTTTTCTAGTAAAAGGTTTAATGAGACCTTTTAAGCCATTATTTATTGCAAATAGAACAAAGGAATTAAAATAGGTAATTAAAAAGTCAGATGATTCAGATGAAGAAATCGAAACATAAATAACATCTAAAGATATTAATGATTTCACAATTGCCAAAAGGTTAGATTTCGACTCAATTACTTTGTCAAATGTTAGCAGACCTGAGGAAGTGCATGAAGTTCTTAAATATTTTTAAAATAGTTAAAACATTTATTAGGTTCTTCAACTAATATTCAGATTTTTGTGAGAATAACAACTTAGGAAGGAATAAATAATTTTGATAAAATAATGGAAGTTGCAGATGGTTGCATAATTGCACGAGCTTATTTGGCAACTTGGGCATAAATAGAAGATGTAGTGTAGATGTAACACGATATGATATTAAATTGCAGGAAACTTGTTAAACCAGTAATTTTTCAATTAATTAGGTTTTAATTTCAACATAAATTTTGGAATCAATGCTTACTTAGACGAACCCTACTTTTGCCGAAATGGGAGATATTGCAGATGTTGTTGAATAACATATTGATGGTATTATGCTATCAGGTGAAACTACATATGGAAATCATCCAATTAAGGTTGTATAAGCCCTAGCAAGAATTAGCAAAAACATAGAAATGCACACTAGATTGTAATATTAAGGAATTTTTTAAATTAAAATATAGGAAAACCCTATTGCCTCTATTATAGCTTAAAATGCTATTGAAAATGCTTACAGGTATTCACGAATTAAATTAGTCTGCGTGTAAAACTAATTTTATTGTTTACTACTGGTGAAACAGCTTTAAGTCTATCAAAATTACATGCTCCATGCCCAATAGTTGCAGTAACAGCTAAGAAAACTATTGCAAGAAATCTAAATATTGTTAATGGGGTGATTCCATTTCTAGTTGGGAGTTTAGTTGGAATTGAATAGTAAGTAAATTTAACATAATTTTAGATTAACTCCAAGAATATTAGAAAACTTTAAGTAAAAAGGTTGGATAAAATAAGGAGATTACATAATTAGTATATCAGGTTTATTTGGAACATAAGAGGGCATTATTAATTAGATGACAATTTTGCTTATTTGATTGAAGCTATTTTATAAAATAGAAAGAATGTTGTTCTGTAACTATCGAATATAAAATTTATTGTTATTTATTTATTTCTTCTTTTTGTGTTTGTTTCAAAATGCCTTTCAATAATAATCCTATAATTTGATAATTTGTTTTCGTTTAATCAAATGAAAAATTTGTATATAAATCTTAACATGAATCTGGCAAATGTGCTATTGACGACTTATAACCTTAATGAATTATGCATTCTGTGCAAAAATTGGATCATTTAAAATACATTTGGACTACAATAAATAAACCTGCTCAATGATAAATATGATTTTCTTGCAATTTAAGCAAACTTTAGTATAAAAGAAGCAAGCATATTAAATGATTTGTGAAACTGCACCAAATTTTACAACTTTTAGCGAAATTTATTTAGATTAAAAGTATTCATTATGATATGAAGTTTTTAATGCATTTGTGATTGGAATGCTTTTGAATTTACTGAATCGTCATAAAAATTAATGTTGATAAGGGATTCTAAAATGAACTACAATTCATACCCTACCAATACTAAATTTTCAAATGGTTTGAAAATTTTTGTAGGGATTTTTTCAAAATAAAATGATAGTTTTAAAATATCAATAAGCCCAAAAAAGGGAAATGATTGTTTAAAGTAATAGTTATCATTAATAAGAGTTAATGTAAAAACATGGGTTAATGTGTATGTAATTGTGTTGAGGGTTATTTTGGTTTTGATTGTGAATTTTAAAGTTTTGATTCTGAAATAAGATTATCTTGAAAAAGATAAATTTTATTATTTAGACTTAATGAAGATTGGAAATGCTGATTTTCTCTTATAATTTTAAAATTAAGGAGAGATTAGCTATTAAGGTTTTTAGGAGAATCCTTACTTAATATCAATATAACTATTGATGAGATTAGTAAATGCAAAATTATAGGATCATAAACATCTCAAATTTAACATTATTATAGTTTAATCATAATAAAATAGTATAGTATATCTTTAACTTAATTAAAAAGCAGATAAAACCTTTTCAAGACAATAATAATTTCAGTAATATCATCTGGTTTACTTTTTTATGCTGTTTTGTGTTTTGTATATTCAAACTTTCAAGGTTATAATTCTAGAAAGCTCCAATAGCAAATAATGCCAATATTAATGTTAATTTTTAATTAATTTAAAAGATATTTGAAAATTCATTTGATTGGACTCAATTAATCCCGCGATTGAATATTAGAGTCTTTTGAAAAAATGCCCTTCAATATATGATTAAAGCGAATGTTAGATTTGCTTTGATTCATTCAAATAAGATTAATTTGTCATAATCACATATTGCATGCATGTCTACCACTATAAATGTTTTGATAAATGGATGAAATAAAATGTAGTACTTTAGTTTTTAATTAAGATATGCCTAATTTGTAGATCTCCTTAAGATAAAAAGTCAATAGATAAAATTTAAAATAAGAAAATTTCATGAACTTTGCCTAATCATATTGCTAAAGCAGGAATCGAACAATTACCAATAATCCTAATTTAAAAGAAATAAACCTTATGGGAATGTTCCAAATTTTAACAAATAGCAAGACTGGTGGATCATCAAAACTAATGGCTTTTAAAGATTTATCATATTTATTAATATAAATATTTTCAAGAAATCAACGTAAATTGTCTTAACTTGTGTTGATTTAACTTGTTTCTATTTTATTATGATTCATAACATTAATCTAATAAAACTTATTTTTTCCTGGGTCTGTTTTGCTTTAATATTTTGGTTTTGATAACAACATGAAGTCATTATCACTGAGTTAATTTTCATGAGGTAATATATTAGGAAATTCAGAGGAATCTTTATCTAATAATTTCAATTTAATTCCAACATTATGACTATTAAGAATTAGATTACGTTCTTGTATTGATTAAAGAATAAATTATATTCTTGAGATTTCATATAAAATATTTTTTACCTTCATTTTTTGTTAAGCATCTTATTTTAATTTTTAGTAATACTTTGTAAATTCTCTAGGGTCATACGATTATCCATATCCAGTCACTTTAGTTATTTTTCCGATGAAGTTCTATCTGATTTATAAAAACTTAAATTAAGGGTAGTAAAAAGAAATGATTTTCCTATAGAGATATTCTGATTAATTAAATTCATTAAATAATACAGCACAATAGGATAATATCAAGATGATTGACCATATAGAACCAATGGAAGCCAACACTTCATCTAAATGTGCATAAGTGATATAATTAATTTGTTGAATATTATCCAACGAAAAAGTAAACTGTGAGAAGATGCTTTTATTGTATATTTACTGTTGAGTATTTAATTAAAGTGATTAAGTAGCCAAAGTATAATCACTAATGAATTAATATTCTTCATTGGATGGGAATACAACCCCATTATCTATATAAGCATAAGAGGTTTTGACAGAATATTTATTAAAAATAGTTTATTCTTTTTAAATAATAAATTCTAATTTCTTTGGTATCTTATAAAATTCCTCGGTTTTTACATTAAATTTCGTCACATAAATAATAACTGTGATAGTGGTCTTAGAATTAAAAAAATTATTTATTTCTTCTTCGTTTGCGCAAGTCATACCTTCAATTATGTAGTCTGATTAACATGCTATAAATTATAGTTAAACATCAAGATTTTCTAATGGACTTAATTTGAACTTGTAATTTTTAGGTACAATCCAACCATCAACATTTGGAAATACCATCACTGGATCAGACTTTATTTAATTAGTAAGGACATAAAATTATGGAACCAAAATATTGTTAAGTTTTGAAAATGGATTTACATCATTTGTGAGTTTAATTTGAATTAGATCGTAATCAAATTCCACATATAGGTCTTCTTTTACTTCTTCTGATAATGAACTTCTTGGAAGGATTTGATGTGTTCCCCACTGGATAAACATATAAATCATATATGCAATACATAAACTATAAAGAGTTATGGTGATAAGTCCTCCAAAGAAAGTTTAATAAGCATCTTTAGAATTAAAAGTTGGACGATAGACAGCTCCAAATTAATCAGCTTTAGTTATTAATTTAATCATTAATCACCCATAATTTATTATTTAATTTAAATAGTTTATTAAATAATTTCTTATTAACAATAATTTAATGATGAAAATTTTAATTAATATTGGTACATGATTATATCGATCTGCTATTCTGACTTTATAAACATTTTATAAAATAACATAAATATATCATTTTTAAGGTGGTGTTCTGGGTATTTTAGATTTATGTTGAAATACATTTTTGTACTAAAAATATAAGATTTGGATACTTCATCATTTTTTTCATAGCTTGGTTATTCTAAGGGGGCTTCAACAGCTGGTTTAATCTCAGGTAATGGTTATCTTTGTTGAGAATTATTGTTTTATGAAGAGGATTTCATGGTTTATGATTATTATTAGAGTTGTTGTTCAGATTGATCAAAAGTACTTTATGGTTTATCCTATCCAACAGGTGTTCTAGCAAGTTTAGGTAGAGATTTCATTTCAGATGGTAATTAAGATTTTTATAGTTAACTAGCAGAGATAACAGGAGTGGTTGGTCGAAAAGGTTATTATTAAGAATTCTTGGGAGTCATAGCTTTTTTATTTTGGTTTTCTTGCAGAATAATAGATCTAGTCATTGTGTTTTACTATAAAAATATAGATGGTAAAAATAAACTTATATTGCTTCTTAATGAGATAAGCTAAAATGAGCATTGAGTAATTCTTCTCCTACTAATTCTCCATCTTTCGCTTTTAAAGCATCTTCAGCGTCTTCTTCTTCTATAGTATCTTCACTATCATCAATATCATCAATGTCATCTACATCATTATTTTCATCCGGTTCTAATTCATCTGGCCCTATTTTATTAATTTATTCTATTATATATTGAATCTATTTAATGAATCTATCATCAGAGTTTTACATCAAAAGTACTAATCTCTCTTTCATTCCTAAAGCTTAAGCTTATTCTCTCATTTATAAGATTGAAAATAAAGAGTAAAGAGTACCATTTACAAAAGTTCTTACTTACATATTGTCATGTTCTAAAAGATCATTTAGTATTTTTAAGACTTCCTTTTTAAACTCTACACACTTTTATTTTCCTTAATCTCTCATACTTAGATTCATAAATAAAGCTGTTGCATATTCATACGAATATTCACTCAATGATTCTTTTTCATTCTCCAATGTTCTCACAATCCATTTGATTACATCATTTTCTATCATTACAACTTAAGGCTTTCTTCTTAAAGATAATTTTTATAAGGCCCCTAAAGCATTTCTCCTAACTAACGAATCATTTTTATCTTTTTTTAATATATCTATCAGCGTTTTAATTAAAGTGAATGATGCCATTAAATAACTTCTACCTTAATAATCACTAGCCATAGCATTTGTTAATCTTAATGTATATTCTTTTACAGAATTAGGAGCATCTACTAACAATCTTTGTAATACTGTTGTATTTCCAGGAGAACATCCCAATATATCAAATTAAGCATATTGAATTAATATTTCTCTTCTGACTTTTGCTCCTTTAGCAGTTGTTATTCGAAATCTTAAGGCTTATAAAATTCTACAAATAAATCCAGGCTCACTTTAACTATCTTGAAATACTGATTTAATTTTTTAATAGTTTAATTACACATACGGAATTGGTTAATTGAAATTAAAGTGTTATTGTTAAGAATGTTATGGTATAGGACTTATGCTTAAATCATTTTCAAATATGCTTGCTTTATCATACATTGAAATATCCTAACTCTAACTAATTATCTCTTCTACAGATGTACTGAAAAATTAAGATAATTTAGCTAATTTTTTTAATTATTCATCAAGAAGATCTTGTGGAATTTATTTCCCTCTTCTACTATCTTCTAACATTTTATTTAACTAATTTGCTATATCGGTGACTTCTTTGTTTAATTAGTACCATTTTTATTGTGCTTCTATCATCGTCTATTTACTTTGTTCTATATAATCTTTAAACTTCTTTTGCATCTAATTATATTTCAAATTGTAATCCTAAATAACAGCCAACAATTCTTAATTATTCATACCTAATTATGTTGTATAATTTTAATTAGATTATGTTAAATTCTATTTATTATTCTAATATCATACCACTTTTTTAGGCTCTTGTTCTGTAAAATTTTAATACATTTGTTCCATTATTGTTAATTACTCTCTGTTCAATAATTCATTTGTTAATTTAACAAGTTTCCCTTTTATTTCTAAAATCCACTAGTTCGTAAAAAAATGTTTAAATGTTGAATGTTCTTATGGCCTAGGTACATATGCAAGAGCGTAATATGGCAAAAATTCGGTTGTTTTCGATAATCTAAATTTAACAAGAATTACTTACTCCTAACCTTTAGTATCAAGATATGTTTTAAAATATTGAAGTGCAGCTTTACTAATTACCCCTCCTTTCTTACCAGTTTTAGGATGTATTTCATAGAGTAAAAAGTATATTTATATATAAAACTCTAATTTCTTAGCATCTTCATCCTTCATTCTTAAATTATAAGGTAGATATTTGTTCCATAACATGAAAAACATTTCATATTATCCTTTATCGAAATACTATTTTATTTGAAATGTAACATACATCAATTAATTCTGAATCTAAATGGTAAATATCCGCTCCCATTTATCCAGAAGCTAATTCTTTTGATAATGTATCTAATGTGTTTAACAATTAGTATCTCACCAGATACTCTTGAATTAGACTTATTATTGATTCCTATGTTGGATCAAGTATAGTCTCTATATACATTTATTCCTGCTATTATTCTTGCTTTTTAGATTGCTGAGAAACATTTTGCTTTGAGACTTTTTTCTTTGGTGGCGGTTGTTTGCTCATTCTAAACTTATTATTTTTATAAATTAGAATTATTTTTTTAATAAAAATCAAATCACTACCCTAGTAGTTACTTTGTAAAAGCAATCTTATCTTCAAAATTCTATCATATTCTGGAGTCGATGTAAATCAAGCTCTTCATTTTTAAAATAATGATATTTTATATATTTTCCTATTAGTTTAGTTACTTCTATGAACTATTTCTTTTAAATAATGTTAAGATAAATCAATCACTTCATGTATATTCCTTCATATTCCACAAAAAGTAGTTTCTTTATTTGTTTGATACATCAATAAGGTCTTTTTTTATTATTTAATTCTATTTAAATTAAATACATAATTTCATCATATCTAAGTTTACTGAACTAAATTAAGGTTAATACTTTTAATTATTAATATTAAAGGAAACTGATTGAAATTATTTCATGTTTTCTAAATTGAGCTCTAGCTGTTTTCAAAAAAAATAACCTCTAAGAAGTTTTAAAATTTAACATAAAAATATAATTTAATCAATTCCCCTTTTATTCTTAGCTTATAATTATAAACCATTAAAAGTATTTTCAATAATTTTATGAAAAGCTTTCTTCAACAGTTTTTCTTAATTTTCAAATAAAATAATATTCAAAACTTCAGGATGAAACAGTAATTGCTTTTTCTTTTTATTTTCAATTTTTTTAATAATAAGATCATGAGTAATATGGTTATGTTGTTGAATTTGACAATTTTTCGAAATATTAATTGAATTCCTTATAACAATTAATGAATATTGAACTTTTTAATAAGATAGATTTTTAAGTAATTCTCAATTCCAATTTTTACTATTTTTCTTTAGGTATTTTTTATTACTATATAGCCTAAAATTGAATTGAAATGCTATATTTAAAACAAATTTAATGATAATTTAATTTCAGAATTTCGAATGTTTCAAACAATGTTAACATTACCTGTAATATTTTTCGGTCATGGATCTCCGATGAATGGAATAGAAGTCAATGCATTCTCTTTGAAATGGAAAGAACTTGCTAGGACTCTACCAAAACCAAATTCAATCTTAGCTGTATCAGCTCATTGGGAGACAGATGGCGTAAAATTAACAGGAAACATAAAATAAAAAACAATTCATGACTTTGGAGGATTTCCAAAAAAATTGTATGAATAATAGTATAATCCTCCTGGTAATTTAAACTTATGTGAAAGAATCTAAAAATTGATTCCTGAAGCTAAAATTGACAACTCTTGGGGATTAGATCACGGAACATGGACAATACTTTAATGGATGTATCCTGAATAAGATATTCCTGTTATACAAATAAGTCTTAACACAAGATTTTCAGAAGCAGAACATTATAATCTTGGAAAGAAATTAGCTCCATTAAGAAAAGAAGGAGTGATGATAATAGGAAGTGGAAACATAATTCATAGTTTTAAAGAAATGGAATGGACAGATACTGCAAAGCCTAGACCTTGGGCAGCATAATTCAATGAGTCAGTCAAAGACATGATCCTAAAAAAAGAACATGATAAATTAATAAACTACAAAAAATTAGAATATGGTGTCAGAGCCAGTCCAACTCCAGAACACTATTTGCCCGTATTATACATATTAGGTCTTTAAGAAAGTACAGATAAAGTGACTTTCTTTAATGATGAAGTTGTAATGGCTTCATTCTCAATGACTAGTTTTGTTATTAGTTCTTGAGTTAATTCTATATATCAAATTTATCAAATTATTTTTATATCAATCATAGTAATAATACAATAGAAAAAAATGCTTATAAACTTTAGTTTATTTGCTTTTTTTAACAATAACAATAATTAAATTAATTACAAATTTAGCCACTATTTTCTTTTAAGTTTATAAATATTAACTTAATCGTTTTTAGTTTATTTCAGATTTGCTTTTCAATATCAATAACTAAAAGTTTTAGTAGAAATAATAAGTTTTTGATAAAGTGGTTAAATCAAAAATTTTAAAATACTACACTTTATTCACAAATATATTTATCAAATACGACTGTATAATAATAAATAGGCTGAATTATCGGATTCATAAGAGACCTTAGGCTTTATTTCAGAAACAGAGCTATCATTTAATTAGTACCATTTCTGAGTGTATGGATGTTTGCATTCTCTAATTAATTAATAATAAATTTACGCAAAATAATGACCAAAATTTAAATCACCATAATGTTTTACAATTCCATATAAATTATATTAACAATTTAAAGTTGATTTGTCGGTACTATTAACAATAAATTAGCTTATATCTAATTTTGCACCAAACTTAATATCTATGTTAATCTTTTTCTTCATAGAACCTTTGTAATAAAACCTTTTTAAATGAATAACTAAAATATCTGGTAATCTCCAAATCTCAAGTTATCTTGTACATTTTCTTTACTATCTACATTTTCCACAAGTATATTGATTAATATTTTCTTCACTTAAATAATATTTTAGCATATCTTCAAGAGTGATTTAATTTCCTTAGATATTTGGAAATGCTAAAGATAAATCTTAAAAGTTATCAAATGCTAATGATTGATTTTTACACACACTACAAGTGACTCTGCTTAATAATTATCCTGTAAAATAATCTGTAACCAAACTATTATCTCTTCCTTTAAAGTAATTAAACCATGTATTAGACTTGAATAAAAAAATATTTTACTATTTCTTCAAGAGTTTATTTATTAAGATCGGCACTGAGTTCTTTATAGATTGGTTTTCCTGTAACCCTATTTAAATCTTCATGTAAACATGTTAAAAGAGCTCTTAGAAATTCTTAAGAATCCTCTTACCTATGGCCTCCAAATTTCTTAGTTGAATTTGCTTTAAAAATAGAATTATAATATTACTGATTGCTTATTTCAATTAGACTGGGTTTTCACTATTTTAGTTAGTAGTTCTCATTTATTTGAGCAATCTCCAATATTATACAGCTACTTATTTATGTTTTGGATTAAACTCTTGTTTAATATCATCTGATAAAAACTTATCATTAAATTTTGGTGTATTAATAATACATTGAAGAGCACTATTAAAGTAACATGTATTTCCAATATTATGTAAACCACAAGCCTTGAAGTATTTAATTTCCTTTTTAACAGCCTTATTATTTGATTGAATTAAGTGGCCATTTTGTTAAATCTATTATTATTTTTATTATGGCGAATTATTTGGCTACTATTTATTCTAGCTATTAAAAATAGTTATTTCTTTTTTCAATTCTGGTTTTAAAGTTTGAATTAAGTCATGTTTATCAACAATAGTACTTAAGCTTTAAACATTTTGGTTATTTGAATGTTAATAACTCATTATGTTATTATTTTACATAGTACTTTTTACAACTACATTTACTAATTATTCATTTGTTTGAGTAGGATTAGTTTCTGTTTTTTATATATTTTAATTTGTGCTCTGCGTTTCTTATTTTATTGTTTATTGATTTGTTATTGATTACTCATTATATGGGATTTTAATGAAACTTTCATCATTTAATTTAATTTGCTTATTTATTTGCTAGTTAACAAATTCAGGTTCAGTGGATGTTTAAGATGATAACTTGTGTACTCTCTTGTAAGCTTAAGACGATAATGATAATATTATTCTAGATCTATAGAGTTTGAATCCGCTCATTAAAAAAATTAATTTTTGTTTATTAAAATATGATATTTTCACTATTTTAAGCGAATATCGTTATGGTGCTTTAAATTTCTTTATATTGAGCTTGCTACTCTTTAAAGTTCATCCAAATAACTAAAATTTATTACATTAAATTACTTTCTAGGTAAAGTTTAAAGTTCACTTGCAGGAGTCAATTCTAATAAATTTTGTATCTCAACTAATCGCTAAATAGGGATAGCATTACTGAGTTATGTGCTTTCTAATCAATACTATATTGTACCCTCTTTCTGGATAAAATTTCGATGTCAATGATCCTGATCTTAATTAACCGTCTTAATTATTTCTACCCTATGGAGATAAAAATGAATGTTTGGATCCAGATTAATCATAATAAGTACTCTTAAAATCTTACGCTCCAGTTGAAAGGTGAAACTTTCCAGTCTATTCTTAAGTACCAATTTGTTGCATCCTATTATTCAAATTTTAATTTTTTTTACTTTTTCTTTAATCCACTGATCTTGGCAGGTGATGATTGAGATACTTATTCTTAATTTTAAGTTGGCTTTCCAAACAAAATGTCTAAAGTTCGTAAAGTATTTTAGTGCTTTCTTGGACTTTCCTTACTTTATTATCCTCCTTTTGGACTTTATGGCTTTTGTCCTAGTTTTTCGAAATGATTATATTTATCTATTATTGACGTACGAACTTCACTCCTTAAAGCTTAATAATTGATCTATCTTAGAAATTAAACTAACTTCTTTGTTTGCCAATTGGCTAGTATATGAAGAAGGTTTTTCAGATATATCTGTCACATGAAAAATTGACATTAAAATTTATTTATTATATATTATTTTTATTTCAATATATTTATTAAATTTACAAGTGGTTTAATACTTTTTATTTTTAATTATTCACTCAAATTTCACCTTATATTAACTTTAGATCGACTACTTATGATTTTATTTTTAATTAAAACAAAATCTAACGATTTTATTTATTTTAGTTTAATTATTTTATTCGTAAAATTTTGAGAATCATTGAATTGATTCTTCATTATTTTTATGAAAATAATGTTTCATTAATTTAATTTGTAAATTGAAAAAAGTTCGCTTATGAACAAATACATAATAGAGGAGATTAAAATACCTAAAAGTTTTTATTATTTTAAAATAGAAAAAATTTATTATAAAAAAGGGAGTTTTATTTTGCTGAATTGACAAGGAAAAATTCTATTTAGAGTATATTCATAATACTTTATATGCTTATAATTAAATTTTTAATAGAAAATTAATTTCAATAATACAACAAGAGTTTGTATAATAAATAATTATCAATTGTATATTAATAGTAAAAATAACAAAGAAAAGATTCTTAATGGCAAATAAATTAACAAAAAAAACAGTTAAAGTGGAAATAAAAATGATTTACATTTAGAAAAATAATGAAAATTTTTATTCATTATTTTGTAACTTGTTTATTTGATAAATAAATCAGAATAAATGAAATTTTTTCTTTATGATTTAAAAGCTCAACCTACTAATATTTTGAAAGAATAACATATAAAAATTAAACCAGAAAATATTGGGCTAATAATCTCTGAAGTACTTGGCTTGGTTTGACAGATAAGATTAATATTCTAACCATACTGACTCAGATAATAACACTTAAGATTAATTTTTTTTTAATTCAGGTTAAATAAAAAATTTTTTAATATTTTTTAGGATCTATTCTTTATTATACCTTATTATTTAAGCTTTTGGTCTCATTTGAAAAATTGATAAAGAGAAGTATGAACAAAGTGAAAAGGAGAAATAAAATTTGCATCTCTTTTTAATTATCAAAATATATTAAAAATATTTATTTTATCTGAATAAACTTAGATTATATTCATTAATTTATTCAATTTAAACTTTCGTATTGAGAATTTTTAGTTAAAAAATATTTTGATTTAGGCTAAAAAATACTAACTATTTTATAATATCAATTAATACTTTCAGGGAATACTGTTTTTTATTTCTACAATGTAAGAGAATGTCTGTAACTAACAAATGAGGAAGGAGATTTAGATTAGCTGAGACTATTCGTAGATTGATCATATGCTAAATTGTTTACACTGTGAAAATTTTAACCTCTCTAAGTTTTTATTTAGGTAGATTTCTTTTGATCTTTTATTTTAAATGATAGTAATTTTGGAATTCTATTTGAAAAGAATGGATGACTTAAGATTTCTTAACAACTTAAACGTTTAGTAAAATCAACTTCTAAACATTTTTTAATTAAATCTAAGAGAATTTATGAGCATTGCAAAATGGAATAATCTACTTAACCATTATAATTTCTTAATATTTTTTTGCCCTTATCTAAATCTTCAAATGGATGTTTTTATGTAATCAAAATATATAATATAATTCCTAAACTGTAGACATCAATATTCAGAATATATTTTTTATCTTAAAGAACCTCAGGAGCCACATAACCAACACTTCCACATCTAGTAAATAGATATCTACCATTTTTATTCCAATAATCAGCTAAACTAAATTCTATTAAACAAGCCTCAAGATAATTATCTGAATGTCTAAATTTAATATTTTAGGGCTTAATATCTCGATGAAAAATATTTTTTGAGTGTAAGAATGCAACACATTCAAAAAGAGGTTTCATAATTAATTTTATTTGGTTTTCATTCAAATATTATTAATTTTCTAAAATTGTTTAAAGGCTTTCTCCTTTTAGTTCTTCCATAATTAAAAATATCAAATCATCATTTTCAAATATTTCAACTAAATTTGACATATGTTAATGTTATAACTAACGAAGTATCTAAACTTCTTTCTTTATACCAGATATTTAATCCTAAGTAGTATAATTTTGTTTTTCATAAATCTTTGCCACATGAAATGTCTTAATGTATAATGTAGACTCTAGTTGTAGAAACTTAAATAATTAAATAATAGTATACTGTAGCGTTACTTCCATAATAAATAGTTTGAGTAATTTTATATCTCTCAGGAATTTCTCTCTGTATACAATATTTTCGAACATAGAGATATAGTTCAGATGCATTATTATATAATTCTATAGAATTACCAGATTTTATAAATTTCAATCCTTCTATTTCATTAAGATTGGTTAGATGTAACAATAATGTAGCATTTAAAATATTCAAATGCTTCTATTTTGATAGATTAATATAAATACCTTTTTAGAATAAACCATGATGTGTTCATAAAATTATATCAACTTTTTTTTAAGTTTTCCGTTCTTTTAAATTAAATATTCTCCGCTAAAAGTGATTTCATCTAGTTCATCAATTGGTCTAATATATAATTTAGAGTTATCCTCCAAAATTGTTGTATATTACTATCTTTACTTTATAAGTTTAGTGATATTAATCATTATTTGATAATTAATAAAGTAAATATAAGCTATCATTTGAGATATCATACAATATTTTATCATACTTAAATTTAATTTTAACACTTATATATAATAGAAATGCTGATAGTTATTTTTTTACTGATAGTGCGCTTTTATAGATTAAATGGAAAGAAATTATTATTATAAATATATTTTTTTTAATGAGAAATAAATTAAATATAATATAATAAAGGTTCTAAATAAATCATATTCATTTTACCAATTCAACATTTTAAAATTTAAATGCAGATTAAAATTATTATTATAACAATTTTGGACATGTGAGATTAGAGTATATGGATTATTCAAAAATTTATTTAGAATAATTGGTTTGAATAATAATTGACATAAATTTATTTTATTAATTAAATGCACGTCGTTATAAGGCTTTAAAACCATGGATGTAGGAATCATAAACTGTGGTGGATAGTAGTAGCTCCAAGAAAAAGAAATATTAAAGGTAGATTTATAGAACATATTGGATATTGGGTACCACATGAAAGAAAGGTTGTATAAAGATCAGTCATCTTGAATAAACCTAGAATACGTTATTGGTTAGCTATGGGAGCAGGAGTTACTCCTAAAGTGCATAGATTTTTGTCATGGATAGATTTATTGCCAGCTCCCCTAATTAAATTTGGATCAAAGACATTATATGAAAAGCCTAAATAAGCTATTTCTGTTGATACATTCAAACCATTTAACAAGCCTTTTTAAAGCTCAATCGAATATTAATTCTTAGACAAAATAACTGAAAATTAAGTGAATAATGATTTGAAAAGAAAAATTTTATATTCTTAATAAAAAGTAGAAGAAATTCCTGCTTCATCAGTAGAATTAGAATAAGAATGGGAGCGATTGAGAGCAGAAGTATATTAAATAGAAAAAGACAGTAAAGCTGTAAATCCAGAAAAGAAAGAGTTGGTTTTTAAAAAGATTAATGAGATAGCTAAATAATGGTTTACAGAAAAGAGAATGGAAGGATTAAAGTAACTTTCCATAGAGAAAGCAAATATAAAAGTTGATACTTAAAATTTGAAAGAATAAATAATGTTATAAAATTTAGCTATTCAAACTCAAAAATCATTAGAGGATAAGTCAACTTGGATTAATGGTAATTTAATTAATTAATTAAAAATAGACTTAATTCCTTTAAGTTAAGATGAAGCTTTTAGATATATTCTTAAAGTGAAAAGAAGAATTAAATTGGCGAAACAAATATTTAAGAAAATATATGATTTCGCTTATGCTTAAAGTTAAGTAGTGAGTAGAGCATTTATTGATGATTATTTAAGAAAAAAAAATTATCGATAAAGACCGGTTTCAAATGAACAACATCCAGATTAAAAGCATAATATGATTGAGACGTATTAATTGATTATTTTTTATAATAGATTACATTATATTCCAGTAAATAGACCAGTTCATCCACTTCCTGATTTTGAAGCTTATGATCCAGAAGATTATACTGATATTAAAAGATAATCAGAATAACTTATAAAGAATAAGAGTAATGAATTTAATTTATTGTTAGGTTATAGTATTCCAAATGTTTATTTGGAGCCTGATTAGATTGAACCTTAACTAAATAATAAAATAGGGGGATACATTAAAGGTTTAGGAGGTAGAAAGAGAAATCAAAAGGGATAGCTCTCAATTAGTAATTTAAGGAAAAAAACAAAGGAAGCTTATAGAGCTAGATATGGTATTAATAAATGAATTTATGGTATTAATAAATGAGTTTATATAAATTTAATAAAATTAATAAGATTTTAATGGAAATCTGACCTTTTAGATATTAAAAGATTAATAATATAATAAAAAGAAACATAAAATGATTAGTTTTTCTTCCCCAATTCTACCTGAATCTTGGAGGAATTCGAATATGCTTCTTCTAAGTTTAATAGCTCCTCCAGATAATTTGAATCCTGAATATTTTAGTACCCTTTTAAACCAGTATGATTATTATAAATATAAAGGTATGGCTCTGTCAATTCAGTGAAAATATTAAACAAATCATTAATGGATTATAAAGTACTAGTTGAAATGGGAACTCCTGAAGCAGCCAAATCAGCAAAATCATTTCTTGACTAATTATCTTCAAACTTTATCAAATGTTCATATTATTATGATGAAAAACCTGCCTAATCAGTATCCTATAAAAATTGTTCACTTGATCTTATTAATGATTCTACAATGAGCACATTAAAATATCGTCATTCAACATCACTCAATGAAAGTATAAATTAATTATTTTTCTTATAGTTGTATAAGAAGATGATAAACAACCTACAAGCATAAGAACAATTCCATCCAGTTAATAAATCATTCACTCTACATCTAAAATTTAACACTCAACAGTATTATGTGTTAATGGAATTAAAGGAAAGAATTTAGATGCTTAAAAACTATATAATATCTTTAGTAATTTCGGAAACATCGACAAAATTCTACTCATTAAGTATTCTATACTCTCAAAATAGGTTAAAAAATTTCGCATTTATTAAATATCTCAAAGAAGAATACTCAATATTCGTTTTTTAAAACTGTTAAAATCTGTAATTTTTTGATAGCGTTGTTTCTATTTCTTTCGTTGCAGAAGATGCTATTGACAAGCTTATTGGTCTTGATACTCTTTACAATTAATAAGATTACTATGTTGGTACTTAAGAAACAGATAGGTAATTATAAAAGACCTTATTTTAGATTTAATTCTAATCATAAAATGAATCTTTTCCCACCAAGTTAAGTCTTACATATCTCTAATCTTAAAAAAGTGTCTTCTAATGCTGAAACTATGTGGGATGTCTTTTCTGAATTTGGCGTAGTCGAGGTTATTTTAAATCTATATTTTAGGCAGTTAAAGTTTTAAATACTTAGTACAAATTCATGTGTTTAGTCAAAATGGAAACTCTTCAATAAGCTTTGGAAACTATGGCTTTAATGCATAATGAAGAGATTGATAATAGAAATATTTAAATCTCCTTCACCAAAGCAAAAATCTGATTATAATTTAGAACATAATAATTATTTTATAATAATTTAATTATATATAATATCAAAATATCATAAACGGGGAGTATTTTATATATTATCTTAATAAATATTATAAATAATAATTGCTCTATATAATAATCATTATTTATTTTCTTAATTATTATAATGCAAGATCATTTGTAAAGTGTATGAATAAATTACTCCTGACGTATGATTTTTCAATAGAAAACTGAACAATCCAAATCTTTTTCTTTTAATAATTCTTAGAATTTTATGAATAACAATTCCCTATTTCATACAAACATATTCTTACAATAAGAACTCCTCCTCTAACAAATGATCATATTCAACTAAATGCTCTATTAAAAGTAATTTTAACTTTTTATTATCCAATAGTAGAACCAAATCACTTCCAACACCACAATTATAACTACTAAAGTAAAAGCCTTTATATGAAAATGACTTATCCTCTCAATTAATTTAAAAATAAGATGAGACTAATCTAGTTAAACCAATATCAACTAAATCAACTAAATAAACCAAGTCAATTAAAAAATAGAATAAAGCTTCAAAATCAAAACATCTTCTTTGTGCTCAAAATTTTGAAAAACAAATTAAGGAAACTTCTCAGAAGAAAAAAATATTCTTATCGATGTTAGATATAAAGGAAGCTTAATATAAAAAGTAAGCTTATAATAATATATATAGGATTAAAATCACAGAAAATGATAAACTAAAATAACCTATAGCAGTAGTCCAAGAATAATTGTGACTTTACTTTTCATTTCTTTTATGAATAGAATATTTTACAAAAAATTAATGTATATACTTACTCTCTAATTGTTGATTGGTCTCTCAAAGTTCAATACAACATTCCTTTTAAGCAATCATTAAGTTGTTTTACTTATATATTTCAGTTAAGGAACAAAAATGTCTCTTAAACATATTTTAATATTATTATGAATTTTAGGAATTCTTCCTTTCATACTCAAAATTTGAAACCATACATTGTTATATAACTTTTGAAAAAGTCTAGAGTTTTTCGAGCAAAACATAATGTATAATAAAAAGTCATTATATGTGCAAAATTTATAATTAATTACAAATCTATAAATAGAATCATATTATATCATTTTATAAAACAATATTATAATTAATTTTATAAAATAAAAATTGTATATACCACACTATTAAAAGTAATTGGAAATTAAAAAACAATACTTATTTTAAGGATCAAATACTGATATATAAGCAGATTAATGATGGCAATAGATTAATTAATTTGATCTGAAAAACTTTATAAATAGAAAATACATAAGAATGTATTTCAACAAGACAAGCTTTTATCTTTCATTAATATTATATCTGAGAGTTGAGATCAAATTCTAGAGGTGTTCCATAAAAACTTTAAAATGAATTTTCTATTTTTGCTTATTCTTTGAGTTTTTTTAACCTTTAAAATTCGATGCTGATCTCTTAGCATTTTACTTTCCATTTATCTAGAATTAACTTTTTTAAATACCTTCATAGATTAAAAGTTTTTAATCTTTTGATAAATCATCTGGATTTAATTCTTCAACACATGGATTTTCTACAATTTCACATTTTACAACATTATATAATGCCCTTGAATTTTCAGCCATAGTTTAAAGTTATTAGCTTCCATATATTTGTGTTGAAGTTTTAATTGACTCTAAAAATTCTTCATTGACAGACATTATCACTTTTGTTATTTTTATTGTAATTGTTTTTAAATATTTAATCTTAATTTTATTCCAATAATCAAAATTTTAGGATTAATTTTTTTGTTTAGGCAATCTAGTTTATGTACAAGTCCAATCAGTATGTAATAAACTTTCTTTGGCTTTTTTCGAGGCTTCGTTCAAGTGTTTTAGTGCTTTTTTTCTAGTTTTTTCTGAATAAATAGTCATTTAAAACTGCTTCTCTACTTCATTTTGTTAAAGTAAATTTGTTTCTTCATTAAATTATTTGAGTAAATTATTTTAACCAGCAATAGCACAGTATTCAAATAATTTTTTTTAGAAATCAGCTCCATTCTTAATTTCCAATATTTTTCTAGTTAATTGATCAGTAAGAACTACATTTACATAATATTATACTAAAACTTCCATCATTATGTAATATTGACACACCTATTTTCTTTTAATTTTTATTTGTCATTTCTGTAAAAAATTAACAATGATCCTAATTACTAGTTGGAAATTTTTGCTTAATTCTTTATGTTATTTCATTCAAAATCTATTTCTTATCATCTTAGGTGTCTTAACTTTCATAGAAAACTTTTATTAATTTTTAGAGTTAAATGAGTTGTTTTTCGTTTGAAATAGAATCTAAATGTTTATAAAAGTTTCCAAGTATCTCTTAGGTTGATTAAAAATCAGAGGATTCTAGTATTACTATTGATAACATTGTTTGAATAGTATTCAAATAATCATTTTCCATAGTAAATGTTTCTTGATAAAATATTATTAAAATCAAATCTCTATATCATTGATTTAAAAATTGTATGCTGTTTGGCTGATTTATAGATTTCATAGATATTAATTGGAAAAATTAATTGAAATTCACAACTCTTAACAGTCATTTAAAAATAAACAATTATTATCACTTCGTTGATTACTTTGAATTGGTTCCTGTCTTTTTTATTTACTGGAACTTTAGATATTATTTTCTGATAAACTTAAATTGTTATATATTTAACATTTATAAATTTGATTCCATTATTGAAATCATTAAGAAAACTAATTTTGAAAAATTATTCATTCAGATTACAAGAAGACTTCTTTTTATCAGTCCTTGTATTGAATTTTAGGTTCAAATAATAGAGATCGTAAATTTTTCTTATTTGAATATCAAATATAATCTATTCTTATTTTTAGATGATTTCTCTGGAAAAATAAAGTGTCTCTCTTGTATATTTAAATTATTTAATAATGATGATTCAGGTTTTATTTAATTTGGATATCTAACATATAGCTTAAGAATACAATAATTTAAAAAATTTTAACAACTACTTATAATTTTTGAGTTTAATAATTTTATTAAATATTACGAATCTTAATTAGTTATATTGGAAAGTGTTATAATTAGAAAGTAAACATCGTTGAAACTAGAGCTAATGATATTTTAATTAATAGCCTCTATGAACATCAATTTACTAAAATTATTCAATATTTTATTTATAATCTATATGATTGAAAGTGAGCATATTGAATAAATTATTTTATACATTATCAAACAGTTATTCCACTTAATTTAAGTCTTTCTAAAAATTTTTCTACAACTTATTTATCTGTATGAAACTTGTTTTCATTTTGATAACATAATATTTCTATATCTAAGATTTTTGATCGAATAAAACCATTGGCAATCTAAAATATTGATTTAAAATACAATCAAAAATATGTAGACAATCATCAACAAACAACTAAGGCAGCCAAATACAACAGTTATCATTTATAAAATATAATCATATAATTAATAAGTCTCTATTTCGATTAAATAAAGTAACGCTAAAGCAATGATAACTGTGCCAAAAATATTAAGAAGTGCTTTCATAATAATTTTATTCATCCTATATTTTTTAAATGATTGAGCATAAATTGAGTTAGTTTCTCTTGCTTAATATGAAGCCGAACAAGTTAAACATTTAGGACTTCTTTATTTTATTATTTTTCTTTTAATACATTCTCTATGCATTATCAAATTACAAAAACAAGGTTGAATTAAATTGCTTTCATCAACTTTTTCTTATTAAATAAGGTACTAAGAATTATTTTCTAAAATTTCTTCATCAGGGTTATCATCTAAATAACATCAAATCAAATATTTACTTAATAGACATTATTCACATCCTCTCTTAAAAAAAATTTATTATTCCTCTTATATCATTTTAATCTGGTATTTATAGATTTTATTTATAATAAAAATTGTCATTATTTAGATTGATAATTCTTATTTTCTTTATTAATTCTATTTAAAATTATTTTGCGAATTATTAAGCATAAATACAAAGAGTATGTCTGTACGTAATAAATTATACATAATTCTGATTATATATATTATAATATAATAGAGCACATTTTAGATTGTTTAAACTAATATAATGAATGGAGAAACTGATGAAAAATGAGCTGTTATATTTGAAGTTGATGATTTCTAAAAATCCTAGAATCTATATTTATACAAGATTACTAAAAAGTATTTCTGCTTGCCTTTAAAAACAATATTTGAAGGACAAAATGAAATTTCTTTTATGTAAAATGTAGAAAAATACTATTTCAAGAAAAAGAATTGAAATAATTAAAAAAGACATACCGATATTTAGGTTTTTGAATTCAATTAACTTAATTTTTTAGCAATTAGAAATATGAGAATGAGCTTCATATATTATTTAATGAATGATAAGAAACATAAACCAAAAAAACTGAAAAAAATAAATGAAATAAAAAAATATAAAAAATGTGATGGATCTGAAGAGATGATGCCTGAAAATAATAAAATTAAAGCACAGAATGAAATTGATGTAGATTAAAATATAATTAGAAAGTAGTAAGATATTTAAAATTTGACTATGATTGAAGGAATGATATCAATATATATGTTTTAAAGACGAAAAAATTATAAATTCATCTTTGGGATTAACTATTTTATGTAGAATAGTTATAGCCTTATTAATTGATTAAGAAATAAAGAATTTTATAACATAAAATAATTAGTAAAAGTTTAAAAATTGAATTTTTTAATAAATAGTGATAATATAGTATAAAAAATAAAAATGTCAGGAAAAACAAGAGATTACTTTGGAACTTTGAAATCAGTATATAGATGTGTAATAATAGGCTGGAAGAACAGTGTTGAAAGAAGATAGTGCTGGAGATTGTATATAGCCAATTCAAAATTAAGTAATGATAGTCAGTTACGTAGGTATTAGAGACTCCTCCTCATATAAAAAAATATAGAAAATCTTATAAGCATTAATATGGTTGTTAAATAGTAATTTTGATATTAAATTTTAGTTACATCCTGGACTGGTAGATGCACCAAAACCATAAGGGAATTGGATTTATGGAAAAAAGACAGATTTATCAGATAAAGCTGGAGAATTATTTAAATAAAAGCCAGAAGGAATAAGAGAATTAATAAATGAAATAAATGAATAAAAATATGCATCTCATATAAAAGAACCATTAGGTACAATGCCTTCAAGAAATTATAATTGGCCTGAAGAAGCAAAGTCTGATGGATTTGCTTTTGGACAAAAGATTCCACCTTCAGAATATACGGCAAAGGAGGTTGTATTTCCACCAGATGCTAAAAGAGATGAGGATAGAATAAGATTAATGTATTTAAAAAGTCATGGAAATTTTGAAGCTGGGGAATAAAAAAACAGAGAATATAATTGGAATATAAATCCTAATGATTTTAGATTTGGTAAGAAAGAAGATAGAGAATAATAATAGATGAAGAAAATATTATAACATGAATTAACTTAAAATTAATATCCTAAAACAACTATAATATAAAAGAATTAAGAAGATTGGAAGAATTATAATGAAGATCCATTAGGTAAACCAAAAAACTTAGCATAATTAAATCCAAGAATGCCGTAAATATTTGGAGAGATGAAAAAAGTTGAATAGTGGACAGCTGGATAATGTATAAATGGTTAGCCTACTCAAAAGGAAGTTTAACATGATATAGATTTAGGAAAAGCAACTAAATTTGGGTTTAGAAATTAACCAAAACCAGGAGATGAAACTAGAGCTTTTGGTGTACCTGCAATAAGAAATGATATAATAAAAAAGGGAATGAAATCAGTAGCAGATCCATAGAATTATGGTGATGAAGTACCTGCTGTTGCTTTACTATTTCCTGAAAAATTCTCACATATGGGATTATCAGAATAAGATTTTTTGAGATTAAGATGTAAATAAGAAATTAAAGACATTTTTGAATCTATAGGTATTAAATATGGGATTGGCAAATTTGAAGGCGTATTTAGAAGGGCAAAAGAGATAGTAATTTATTTAAAATAAATTAAAAGCAAAATGCGTATGATGAGAAAGTATCCGTAAAAGCATTTTAATTAGCAGTATAAGAGATGCATTATATTGATTGATTAAATAATAATATAATATTTAAATGTCTAAGTGTGTAAATGGATTGAAAAGTCGACTTACTGCCATAATTGGAGCTTAATGGGGTGATGAAGGTAAAGGAAAATTAGTTGATATTTTGGCTGAGAAGTACGATTTTTGTGCAAGATTTAATGGAGGAGCAAATGCAGGACATACAATAGTTGTTGGTGGTGTAAAATATGCATTTCATTTATTACCTTGTGGAATCTTATATTAGACATGTATGAATGTAATTGGAAATGGCGTTGTTGTTAATATTCCAACTATGTTTGAAGGTATCTTTTATATCTAATTAAAGAACTGGCTTAATTAGATAAAAATAAGGTTGATTATACTGGAAGACTTGTTATTTCTAATAGAGCTCATCTTGTAGTTGATGGATTACTTGAGGCTGATGCTAAAAGTGAGAGTGATTCAAGAAGTATAATTATATTTCATTTTTAGAAAAATTTCTTGGTACTACTAAAAGAGGAATAGGACCCACTTATTCAGCAAAAGCATTAAGATAAGGATTAAGAGTAGGAGATTTATTACTTTGGGATACATTTTTATTAAAATATCATGCATTAAATGCAAAACTTAGAGAATAAGAGGGAATTTAAATAGACACTTAAAAAGAGATTAACACACTTAAAGAATATAGAGATATATTAGTTAATAAAAATATGATTGTTGATACAATCTCTTTAATTTCTAACGCCAGAAAAGATGGAAAAAGAATCTTAGCAGAAGGAGCTAACGCTACAATGTTAGATATAGATTATGGAACCTATCCATATGTCACTTCATCCAGTACAAATGTTGGAGGAGTTTGCACAGGATTAGGTATACCTCCATCTGCAATTGAAACCGTTATTGGAATTGTTAAAGCTTATACTACGAGAGTAGGAGAAGGACCTTTCCCTACAGAACTGACAAATGAAACTGGAAAATATTTATAAAAAACTGGCCATGAATTTGGTGCTACTACTGGAAGACCTCGTAGATGTGGTTGGTTAGATATACCTATTTTAAGATATTCAATCCAAATTAATGGACATTCATCTATTAATCTTACTAAATTAGATATCTTAACTGGTCTTGAGGAAATTAAAATCGGAGTTAATTATTTACTCAATGGAAAAGTCATTGATTATATTCCTGCACAATTAGAAGATTTAGCCTAAGTTCAAGTTGAGTATATGACTTTGAAAGGATGGAAATAAGATATTTCTGATTGCAAGATATTTTCCGATTTACCAATAGAAGCCTAAAACTATGTTAAAAAAATTGAAGAACTACTTGGAATTCCTGTCTCATGGATAGGTAATGGACCTCAAAGAGAAAAAATTATCTTAAAAGATTGAGGTTACAAATAAATAAAATCATTAATTATTTCCTCAATTTATACTTTTTTTATTACGTTATAAAAATCTACCCTTTACTCTCATCAACTTTAATATATCACTTGTAGTTTATTACATTGAAAATCTAATATTTATTTTTATTCAATACTTGCTATGGAATTACATCTATACTTGAGATCTTCGACTTTTTATAACATTCTTAGAATGTATTGTTATTGTCTTCTTTTTTACTATTTATCTTGGAGTTTTCCCTTCATGTTCTTATAATATGCAATCAATCTCTTATACAAATTTCGAGTTACCATCTATCTCTACTTCTTTAAACTATTTCCATGAACTTAAAGGTTCTAAATTACTTTATATTTATTCCATTTTTCTAGTTATCAAAGAACGCTTTATTGCATATATCATTACACTAACATAATAAAACAAACTCTCAACTCCTGTTGTAAATTTTACACTATTTATAAAAAAATTAAAATAAGCATTTTATAAAGAACTAATTAATCCTAATTTAAATAAAACTATCCCCAATAAATACTAAGGAGCTCTTGAAAATATTATGGTAAATAACCTTAATATTATCAAATTTATTACTTCACAAATATTTATTAATAAGTATTCGATTAATCACTATCAAAAAACCAAATTATTAATAAATGTAGAACAGTTTCATTCAAAATACTAAAAATGTTTTTTGGAGTATCCTATTATTCACTAAATAATATCAATCCTTCTTATAAAGTAGATACTAGCAAATGTCTTTTAAATTTAGATGTCTAATCTGAATCATGTGATTTAACTATTATCTTACAAATATAATCTCCAATTTCATAAAAACAAGACTTTAATATAGATTTATACTAATGAAGTTCTTAATGTTATTTACAATTTAAATAAATTTCATTAATAATTATTCCACATTCACAAGATGTTTCTGATTTCAATTTATCCTAATCATTAATCCCATACAAATAAGCTCTAAATAATTAAGTTAATATTTCCTTTTTTAAAAATGAAGGCAATATGCTATCTTATTCCACTTTTAAACGTTAAGCTTATTTCTTATCTTATGATGTAAGACTCATCATATTAAAAAAAATATTCTAAATAAGCTACTTTAATATAGAAATACAAGTAGGAAGCAGTTTTAAATCAGATTCATATTTATTTACCTTTCTTTCAAAACTACTAGATTAAATTGAGATTTTTGGACTTGGATATAATCCTTTCAATCTTCCACTTGAAAAACCTTCATAAAATGAAGAAAAATCAGTGCTTTGTTCAGTTTTTCTTTTGTAGCTTCTAGGTGTTTTCTTTGGAGACTATACAATACTAATATTTATTTGATTTTTTCCTGTATCTACCCATTTTGATAATTCTTAATCCTCTATCGTTAATCTTGGTAGCTATTATACTGTTTAAACAATTTATCTATTAGTTAAATCTCTCTATAATAAAGTCTCTTTCATTTATCTTTTACTATTTCCCCTTATAAATTTTGTATCATAAAAGGAAACTTGAGGAGCAAATAGTTTTTCTTTAATTGAAATTTAAACTTTTGTCTGATATTTTTACCTTTCTGCTCTAAATTACATTAAATTATCAATATCTTTGCCTAATAATTCACTTACAGTTATATTTTCTTTCACATTTTAGTTCATATGCCAATTCAATTAATTCATTCCATAAAATTAAATTTAATTTTTTCCTGCTTACAATTACCCTAAGTAATCTGTTAATAATTTTTTTTCATCTAGATTAATTTCTTCCTAATGAATCAATCTATCATAATTTATTTATTATTTGAGTAAGGATACTATTTAAACAGTTTAATCACTTTGACAATTTTTATTTGCTCTGAACACATCAACTTATAGCATTAATGAAATGCTTAAAAAATATTAGATCCAATCTGTACAGTCTAAATACTACCACAAATGATCAAATACATAATTTCCCATGTCATACTCATCGGTTATTATTTCTTTAAAATATTTAGAAATTATTACTTTATACAATTTTAGCTATGTTTTCATTATAAATTAAGGAAACTAATTGAAACAATAAATTAAATTCTACTAACATTAAAATAGATTGTCGAGGATTCGTCTATAATATAAAGTCTAAAATTAATGCTATCTAATTTAAATCAATATTTTTATCATAATCATTCAAAGTATCATAAATATAATGAACTAATTTTTATATTTAATGATTATACATAGTTTAAAAAGTAATTAAGGTACAAGTTTAGTAATAATTGGGTAATTATTTTCATTTATAATTATTTTTAAAGTCTTTAATGCACGTAATAATTATAATTTATCTATACTTTTAGTTTAATTTAGTTTTCTTGAACTTTAGTCATGCTTAATTTTAATGTTGCTAAAATGATGTTCCTAAAATATAAAAAATTTAATTTCTACCCATTCATGTATCACATCGAAATAAGTTGGATCAAAAATATATTTAAAAATTAACTCCAAATACTCAAAACTTCTAAAATAATCTAATTATTCATTAACCATAGGAGTATCATCCTAGCATATCCATTTTTAAATTTCTTCATTAGGATCTATTTCAATAGATGATACAGAAGATTCATAAGGTTCATGAATAATATCTTAATCTGCTAATATATTACTTTAAGACCTTATTATTTCATTAGAATAAAAGACTATTAGTAATAATTAAATTTACATTAAACAATTTATTCATCAATTCTATTTACCCAAGTGCATGCACCAAAAACATCATTTTTGCATTCTTCAAAACTGTCTACTACTAATTTAATAACTTATTCAGTTCTTGTGTGAAAAATAAAAGTCATAAAGATTCCGCTTCTACTTTCTAGAGATTATCTTAATTATTGCACCATCATAAATAATGGCTTTAAAAATGAGACTGCAAATTGTTTTGAGATAACTAGATTTTCTATAACATTTTTTGCTAATCCTGATTATCCAATTTATAACCCTAATATAATAGTTCAAGTACTTTGATAGACTTTTTCTACCTCTTCCAGGTGATCTACTCCCTAACATTGCCTTTTATTCTTAAAGTAATGCTATTTCTAATAACCCTTAATAAAAGCAATTCACAAATTCAACATTCTGAAATCTATCCATCATTATGGATAATAATAGTTTAATAGGTTCTTCTTAAAATGGATAACAACAAAATACTCAAATAGTTAAGATTAATTACATTGCCTAATTAAATTTGAGTTTGTAAAATTAGTATAAAATGGTAATTATTATGCTAATTATTAACATCCCCTTGTTATATTAGTCATTCTTTTATAGTCATCTTCTTCATTTAGCTATTAAAATACAAAAAGTATTACTGCGAATTCAAGTATCATCTAACAAAAATATAATTAATCACTTCAGCTATTAAATTTGTATATATTTTTATCTTATAATTCCAAAATCTATCTAATTTCTAGACTTTTAAATACGAAATTTTATCATTCTTATGATAACAATTAGTAAGATAATCTTATTTAAATCTTTGGTAGAATCAATAATAGAGAAAAACTCATAGATCAAAGTATTATAAGAATGATTCATTATAATTTTTAGTTTCTAGTGAAATTTATATAGATTTAAGAAAAATTGATAACAGTATTCTGAAAATTTAGAGAAAATAATGATAAACATTTTCATCATTTAATTTATGTATTTCATTTTTAATAATAAATTTGATTTACAAAATGGGAAATTGTAATAACAGCAAAGATGTAAATTATGATGATGTTTTGTGTAAATTATTTCAATTAAATTTAAGTGCCTTGTAAAAGTGATTTTGCTCTACTTTTTGTTATTGGTAGAGGTGGTTTTGGAAGAGTTTGGAAAGCTGAAAATAAAAAATCAAAATAATAGTTTGCAATAAAAGAGATGAATAAATGCAAGTTAAAATTTAATTATAAAAAATAAGGATAATAAATAAGAAAAGTGTTAGTTCAGTTATGAATGAGAGATATTTATTAAGTAATTTAAGACATCCGTAAGAAAATAAAACTAAATAGGTTTTTAGTAAATATGCATAGTGCATTTTAAGATAGAGAAAATTTATATTTAGTAATGGATTTGATGTAAGGAGGTGATTTAAGATATCATTTATGCAAACAGAGAAAATTTAATGAAAAATAGACAAGTATAGATTAATATAAATTTTAAAAGAATTTTTTATAGCATGTTTATTGTTAGCATTAGAATATCTACATACAAATACAGTATTACATAGAGATATAAAGCCAGAAAACTTAGTATTTGATAGGAATGGTTTAAAATGATTTAAATAATAATAGGTTATTTAAGATTAACAGATTTGGGTATAGCTAGAATTTGGAAACCTGATAATGATAATGATACAAGTGGAACACCTGGATATATGGCACCAGAAGTAATGTGTAGATAAGCACATGGAGTAGCATCTGATTATTTTGCAGTTGGAGTAATAGCTTATGAATGTATGATGGGAAAAGTAATTAAATTCTTATTATGTAGAGACCTTATATAGGAAAGACTAGAAAGGAAATTAGAGATTAAATTATGGCTAAATAAGTCTTAATTAAAATGAATTAAGTCCCAGAAGGATGGTCAGAAGAAGCTGCAGATTTTATTAATAGAACTTTACAAAGAAAACCTATGAATAGATTAGGATTTAATGGTCCTGAAGAAGTTCAATCACATCCCTGGTTTAAAAACATTGATTGGAATTGTTTTATTAATTAAACAGCTACAACTTATTATTCTATCAATGTAATTAATATTTAAATTATTTCTTTAGATCAATCATGATAATTTCGATGCTAAATTTGCTAATATGAAAGAAGATGAAGATCCTGAAACTTCCCTATTAAATGGCTAAATGTTAAGAAGATAATCAATACAAGATTAATTTAATGGTTATACATACGATTAAAATCTAACATAATAATAACCATTATAACATAGTATTAGTACTAAATAAACTGTGCCTAATTTAAATACATAATAATTAACATCTGCTAAAAGAACTAATATTGAAGAAACTAATCCTTAATTATCTTAAATGTCTTCTAAAAAATATAATTTAATTTCATAAACTCCTAGATAGTAAACAAGATAAATTCTTACTAGTTAAAAACCTTAAACTGATCGAAATCATTTTACTAACAAATTCTAATTCAACTGATTATTTATTATTTGTTTTGTATATTATTTTATATTTTTAATTCAATATTTTTCAATCACTATCATTACCATTATATTGATTATCATCTAATCTTGTTTAAGAACCACCTCTTTTTCCTTCTCCTAAAATCACCTCTTTTAATACATCATCTAAACCAATTAGACTTTTTGAAAATGAATCATTCTTTTTTTTTTTGGGTTTTTTTTATACTCTTTTTTTCTTCAAATATAATAATATTCCAAGAACAATTAATATAATTAATAAAAATATCGATGCTGTTATATAAATCCAAATAAAATGTTATTCTTAAGGAAAATCAAATGTTATTTACATTTCTACTGTTTTTTTCTTAAAAATATTAGAAAGAACTAAATTACCAGTTACAGTTGTTGTTTTTGTGTAATTTGATTTTATCTAAAATGATATTTAATCTTATTTTAAATAATCTATTAAAAAATAAGTATCATTTTCAAATAGAATATGAATATTATTTTCTGGTTAACGAACATATAATAAAAAGTGAAATCTATCTCTTAATGTGATATCAAAAAAGAATCGATATATCCTAATTGGTGAAGATTCAGTGGCAAATTAAATTCTATGAAAAATTTAAACAAAAACTTAAAGATCATCATATAAGTAATCAAATTTGTCTTCAAAAAAAAAATTCTTTTCTACATCTGATTTCACACAGGCTGCAACTAATTAACTAATTTATAAATTTTCTCTCAATTATATTTAAGGTTTTTGTTTATTTGTATGAATGCATCTAAAATAATTTAAATACGTATATTTTTTCACTATTTATGAGATTTCGATCTCTGAAAGAATGAGATGAAATTCAAAAAATTTATCTGGTGTTCCTAACAATACTAAACATATATAATCTTGACAATCAAGTAAATGAATAGTTTCTAAACGATATCGGCTTGTCGAATTAAATAAATACAAATCCAATTATTTATATGAAAACTTTTCTTCTTTTGTTTTAATTAATTCAGCTGTTATATTATCTAATTTAAAAAAAAATACTCTTAATTCATGTATATCCAAAGTCAAAACTAAAATTGTCTCATCATTTAATAATATTGTATCAAACGATAATTGCCCTAAAATATTGTAATCGAATGTTGAAGATTATATTATTTATTTACTTTTGAATTGACCATTCTCTATTTTCCCTGAAATTAACTCATATTAATCCTAAGAATTTTCATAATTATATTTTATAAATTAAAATATTTATCCATTCAATTTAATTGGATTAATAGTTTCAATTTATAATCTACTGCCTAATAGAATTTTAATTGGTTTAATCTAATAAGTAATCTTCGAATTTGCATAATCATACTAAAAATTTATTTAAAAATATTAAACAAGTTTAGAATGATTTTATAAACTTCCAACATAGTACTTATAACAATATAATAATAATTAATTAATATCGTTAATAGATAATCTACACTATCTAAGATTTTCAAGTTGTGTACTTAAATTAGTTAATCGTTCCTTTTTAAGTATTGTTATTTTATTGATATTTTATGTAGTTTATCTTTGTTTTTCATATATTATAAAATAATATTGGCTTACTGTAAATATTAGATTATTTTCATAAGCAGATGAATTAATAATACTTAAATATTCAGTTTGATTCATATCTAAAATATCAAAAATTCTTCCAAATTCCAATGTTTCATAATGATCACTCAAAAATTGATTTAATTATAAAATATCATTTTTCTTAATAATGATATTGTCCTTATCTGACAAATTTTAGATTTCAAAATCTTCTACAGCTCCTTTAATTTCTGAGTCATTTAAATTTAAAATTTTATCTTATTCCTTTATAACTAAATTAATTTTGCTAGAATTAAAAATTATCTATGTTTCTGAATAATCAAAATATATATTAAATTCTTTAAAAATAGTTGAATCTTAATTTTATTGATATACCATTATCATTTTTTTAGATTGTATATCATCATCGTTCATTACACTATAATAAACAGGGTTAGAATTCAAATAAAATAAAGTACCTCCATTTTTATCAAAGAAAAATGCCATTGAAAATATATCCCATTCATTTGTGTCAAAATTATTAACAATAACAGGTATGGCACTTATCAAATCTTTTGAGACAGGAATATTATGAAGTAAAATATTAGGAGATGGAAAAAAAGGAGAATAAGCTAAATATCCTTTAGCATTTACTGGAATATAGATTACCTAAGAATCACTAAAAGGTTTTAATAAATTATTTATTTAATAACTAAATAAAGAGTAACTTCTTATTAATAAAGGATTATATGGATTCTAAAGATCATATTCAACTATTTTTTAATTTTCTTAATTTTCATTACATAAGTAAACCAAAACTCGTTTATCTTAATGAAATTAAATGAAAATTTTAGATGAATTTTTAATCTTAGGAATACAATTTGATCCTTTAATTTTATTGATTACTTTATAATTGACTTGATAATCAGATATTGAATAGTATGTTATTATTTATATAATACTTCCATCACTTAATAGTATAAAGGATAGTTTATTATCAATTATTTCAAATTAAGCATCTAATATTTCAAAGTTTTCTAATTCAGGGATTGTTTAAGAATCAATTTCACCCATTTTAAAAATTTCAATTTATTATTAGTTAAATATTTTACAAGTTAAACTGAATAAAATAATTTTTTTATGATTATTAGGGATTGCAAATAAAGTATCATTTATACATCTTATTTCATTTAATTAAATAAAATCATATGGTACTTATTCTTTTAAGAAATCACTATAAATTATCAAAGAATAAATACCCAGTCAACAAAGCACAATTAGAAAATTAGATGTTATAACATAGTACATATTTTTTTTAAGTAGAATCACCAATTATAACTGTTAAAATATTAACACTAAAAAAATCAATATTAGAAAATTAAAATTATTCTAATTTTATTTATTTTACTTTTCCATCTTCAAAAAATCTTATTTTATCATACTTAAATTATTAATAAGCTAGAACAATTTAATTTTATTCATCTTTTATTAATCCTACAAGTGAAAAATATGCGTTTATTTCATTATATACAAATAAACCAGAAAATACTTTAAAAAATTATGATTTAAATTCCATGAACTTTATCTCTCTTATATATTCAATTACTGATGATGCTGTAATTGTTCTATTTTCCCATTCAATTTCATGATAATTTAGCAAAGGACCCAAAAGATTATTATTCAATTTGAAATTAAATTACTCAGATTTAAATACCAATTAATCTTAGGCAATTTCTTTAATTAAAAAAAAAGAATCATCATTATATTAAGAAATTACCAAATTTAAAACATCTATTGCAGACATAGTAAAATTCATTATTTATAAAGTTATCTAAAATATTAAATAGTTTTTGTTTGCAATTTATTAATCATATGTAAATATTAGATGCTTGCATTAGAGTTGATGCAAACTCAGATTTTATATTGCAGAATTATATTCCAAATAATAACTTCCAGGAAATTCATCAAAGTTTACTCTAAAAATTCCATAGTTAGAAGTGGAGTCTATTATGTAATTAGGAACGTATTACTAAATATTATATTTCTTTTGAAAAAACAATATCCTTTAAGGCAAATAATTATCATTTGTAATAATAGTTTTCTTTGACATTACAACGATTAAATAATCATAGTAAATATGAATTTTCTATAAATTATATCCTTCTTATTTTATATAATAATAGCCTTCAATTTTATCTTGATCTGTAAGGTAAGTGAAATAAAAATTTATTTTATAAAGTAAGATTTCTGAGGCTACATAAATATATGTGATTTCATCTAGATACGAAGATGAATATAAATTTGTGTATAATCCTTCTTATAATTCTAAAAAATCACACTAAATTTTATTTTTATTAAGATTCCCACATTTGCAAATTCCATGTCTATCAACAAGTAACAAACTAAAAACCCATTTATGTTATTATTCATATTATGTATATTCTGTTAATCGAGTTATAGAGTTAGCTACTAATTATTTAATATAAAAATAGTTAACAACTTCTTCACTATTACATTTAACAAAGTTATGTAAATCTAGAACATATACAGTTATAATATATTAATCATCAATTAAAATTGTATTATCTTCAATAAAAATTATTTAATCTTATTGCTAAAGTAAATTATCTAATTTATTTATTTTAAATACTATATAAACAATAAAAAATTCTGCTAATTTATGAATAATGCACAATATATTTAATTTCCTTTTTTTTACAGTTATTCCATTATGCTGTGACTTCTAAGCTTGAACCTAAAACATCTTCAAAACTATAATATTAAAAAGTAAATTAAACATCTTATATTTTCATGTTTTTATCCAAGATAATTTCAAGAACTACATTTATAAAGTTATTTTATTAATCAACACAATCTATATTAATTTTTAAATCATCAAAAAGTCCATACATTGTTGTACAAGTATTAATATCACTAATTGTTTTTACTAAGTTATATTCATGATGAGAATAGATATCCATTTAACTATTAGTATTTTTACTAAATTCAACTATGACTACATCTACATTGCATAAAAAAATTGTAATTGGGTATTTTTTTAAATTATATTATGAAGTTGTTTAATAAGACTTAGTAAATTTAATAGAGTTAATGTATTAAGTTAATTCTGTTACTGTATAATTTGGTAAAGCTTTATCTTTAGTGTAACTGTTCATTGCTTCGATATTGATAACTTCAAATTCAGGATTTAAATAGTCTGAATATTTTGCTAATAAATCATAATGATAGGATTCATGCATTGTTTGCATAATCAAAGTAGAAGTTTGATTTCTATTTTATGCATACACAATCTAAAAAACTAGTATAATTAATAACATAAATAATGATAATTATTGAAATTTAAAAAACATTATTAAAATCACAGATTAATTTATAGCTATTATTTTATGAAGTTTCTACACTATTTAGATTTATTCGGGATTCCTTATGAATAACCCTATATGCCAAATAAAAAAATATATAAAAGCAGTTTTGGTGGATGTTTCACCATCACTCTATATTCTTTAAGTTTACTTTATTTTGTGTTTAAGATTCATTCTTGGTTAACTGGAGGTATAAATCCAAAGAGTACACAGATATATCAAGTTTAATAAAATGTTGATTTATTATTAAATTACCCTTTGATTTCAATTTCATTTGATTAGTAAACTGAATAGTTAGATCCCTTAAATTAAAAAGAAAAGATTATTCAAGCATATTTAATAACTTAGTAAAATTAAAGCATCAATAGTAATTCATTGTATAAATATATGTTAGTTGCCAATTTTGAATCATAAAATAACAATAAAATTGTTATGGATAATTTCAATTTTTCTTTGAGTGATAGTTAAACATCACTTTTTCCTACTTAAACTTTTCTTGCTCTTCAACTTTGTAATAGAACTCAATAAGTAAATTGTGCTTCAGATGATAAAATACAATAATTTTTATAGTAATCGAATATTCTATAAATTTAGACTTTCAGGATTAAGTATGAAAATTGATATGAATTTTCTCTATTTCAATGCTCAATTAAATTAATATGAAAGAATTACTAAAACTTTTTAATATGCTATAGAGACTGATGTAACTTTATTAAATGTATTTCAACTTTAAATGTAAAAGAATATTATTAATAACGGATTTTTATTTGACAACATTATTGAAAGTCAAGTTATTAATGATGTTTAAATTATTACTCAATCTGTTTAATAAGAATATTTTTCAATTTATTTAAATGGATTAATAGCTGTTTATGAATTTAATTTAAATCAATTGGTATAAATATAATTAATTCAATTTGCTAAAATATCTGAAATTTTGGCAGATGTTGGATCCATTATTTCAACTCTAATGGCATTAAAAGGATTAGCAATAGCAATGAACACTTATTTATTAGAAGAACTTATAAATCAGTAAATTATCTCTTGTTATTACCCATAATTCAAAGAATTAAAAATCAATAGAAATCTATTTGGCTAAATAAAATCAGTCCAGCACTTTCATAGTTATATAGATTTAATAGAATTTAATAAATTTTACACAAAGGCTAAATAAATTGCTTTAAAAAAAAAAAAAAAAAAACAATTATTAACTAAATTTATGAAATCTCTAGATTATAATTTTTAGTATAATTATCAATCGATAAAAATAAAATATCATAATCACATAAATTTGGTATTCCTTTAGATTTAAACTTTAATAATCGTTCAAATACAATTGTACCCTTTGATGATTCAATTCAAATATCTGATCGAGAAAAAGTACTATATGGAAATGAGGATTTTAATATTTTAACTCTTGAAAATATTTGAGACTGTTTAATACTTTTATTAAAAAATAAAAAAACTTATTGTTTTAACCCAAAAATTACTTATTAATTTCTTACCATAATATTTTTAAACTAAAAATTACTTCTCTCTTAATTTTATCTAACCATATATAAAATTTTATAATTTAAATCTAGATAGATCAATAAGGATCAATATATTTAATTTATATTCAAAAATTTTAATGTATCTTGTTAAATTTGTTTCTCAAGATAACAATAATATCTTTTCTAATTTTCTTTTTTAATCGTTTTTTTTTTTATTTTTGGGTAATAAAAAAACTTCATTTCAGGGATTAAAAATACAAATTAATTAATTTTTCTTAATTCACAATTTTTTTTTTTACTTAGTAATTCACATTGGATAAAAAAATTTTTTTATACCATTAAGATTTGATTAATATTATGAAATATTCATTTAATGATACTAATTATTTTATTTTAAAGTATTAAGTGTATAATTTAAGCGTATTAATATATATAGAAACCAATTAAATATTATATTTTAATGAAAAAAAGTGGAGGATATCAAGACGATTAATCTAAGACTTCCTTTTTTAACGATGGAAACCAATTATTTACACAAATAATTGATGAAAATTTGCAATTTTAAGATTAGGGCAGTTTTCAAATGAAATATATCAACAAGGTTTCCACAATAAAACTTTATTTCGCAAATAATTATCTAAAAATTATTGATGAAGTATTAGAATCTGAAAATATTTGTTAGATATCATCAAAATATATATAAATTGAGAATGTTTGCTTAAGAGTTGTGATGAATTTGAAAAATTAGTAATTTGGTTTTAGAATAAGTAAAAATGGGTAACAAGTTGAATTTTATGGTAATGACTTAGAATTAATCGAAAAGATGAAAAAATATGTGATATAATCAGAGTTTTAGAAGAAATATCGAGTTATATAAAAAATTGGTAGTGACTAATTATCATCTGTAAAATTTATAATTTATAAAAAGGTCTATAAGGTCTAACATTAAATAAGTGGATAAAAATTTGTAGCAAAGGTTGTAGAAAAATAAATGTTATTGAATAGTAGTAAATTTGAAAAAGATAACTTTTTAAATTAAATAAATATCCTAAGACAAATGAATCATAATAATTTATTAAAATTAGAAGAAATTCATGAGGGTGAATAAAATATATATATAATTACTGAATATTTAGAAGGAGGATCAATTAAATAATAAATTTTGAATAATCTTCTTACTGAATAAGAAAAGATTAAAGTAATGCATTCTCTTTTTAGCAGTTTAGATTAACTTCATAAATAAAATATTTATCATTAAGATATAAGATATGATAATATATTACTAAGAGATGCCTAAGATTTAAAGACAGCTTGTCTAATTAATTATGATAAGGCAATTCAAATTCCAATATAAAAAAATAATAATTAAATTAACAATAATCTTTAAGATTAAGAGAATATGCTTAATTAGTATATGAAAAGAGATATATATTGCTTGAGTGTTATTTTATTAACAATGTTTACTAAGAAAATTTATAAAGAAAATCAAGTGTTGGATGAATTAATGATTAAAAATTCTATATAATTAATTGAAACAGATTACATGGAGTTATCTCCTCCACTTTATAGATTTTTTGAGTAAATTTTTAAGGATATGTAAAAGAAGTAAACAGATAATTTGAATTGTGAAAAGATATTAGAGTTAGATATATTTAGAATTCAATAAAAATCTAGAAATTCAAAAAATTTTATATCTAAATAATTTCTACCTTTACTTCCAAAGAGAATGAGTAAATTTGATCCTAGTTAATCAGATAGAGAAAAAACAGATTGTTCTATAAATTCTATAAAACTTCCACCTATAAATCGAGATTCTTCAACTTCAGTTGAAAAAAGTGTATCAAAAAGTCCATAATCATTATGTCTTCTCTCAAATCATCTTAAAACAATAAAAAATAAAAATAAATTAAGTTAAAGAATGAAAATGATTAAATAAAATGTATTTATATGATTTTATAAATCATAAAGTTTTAATTTTGGATTGATTTTTAGATTTAATAATTTTTTTGATTTGATAATAAAATGCTAGATAATATAATAAAAATAATACTTGATAATAATACAAATAGTATAATGCATATATATTATAAAGTTTAAGGATCTAAAACGATTAAATTGGTTTGTCTTAAAAATAAAAATATTAAAGATGTTAAAAGATATATGATTGAATTTTCTAAAGATATATCTTTAATTTTAGAATATGATGCTGAATTTGAATGATAATCTCTAAGTCCAATAAATAAGACTAAAATTGGTATTTAACTCATAAAAATGGTAGATAAAATGAATTAAAGATTAGTAAAAGTAATGTTATAAAAAACAAAAGCTTCTATTAATTTAGAAATAGTTAAGGCTTATCCAACTTTATCAATCATCATAACTGAATATGGAAAAGATTCATATTAAGCAGCTAATCTATCTTAATATTTAATAGTAATAGGATTAGCAAAAATAAAAGTTAGGATTGCATATAGAAATGCTTAATAAAGGTTTTCAAAATTAGAGAAAATATTCTCATTAAAAAATATAAGCTAATTTTTAATATAATATTTACATTTAAGGTAAAAGATTAAGCAAACATAATAGCCACAGTTAAGAATAAAGATTGTAAAAATTTGAAGGAACTATTTGTTTCAAATATCCATTATTAAACACATAGTAAGGAGGCAAAATCATAGTATGGAGTATATACATCAACATTGAAGAGAAAAGGAATAAGCAAAATGATAGCTGACATAAAATAAAGTATGATTGACATATTTATTTATTTATATTAATAATTATTTATGGGCACTTGTTGTTCATAATAATAATAAGGAGGAGTGATATAAAATATAGAATATAGAGATTTTGAACCAATAGCGATGCCAACTTTAGTTCCATAATAAATAAACTTTGAAGAATATAAAGAAGAAATAGTCAAGATATAATCATCAATAAGAAAGAAAAAAGCAAAAAACGTTGCTGCATAAATGAAAGAAGAAGCTGAAAAGGAGAAACCAGGTGATAATTGGGTTTAAAGTAAAGAACCTAAAAGTATAGAATAAAATGTACTAACGACTTAATCTAAGCTTGGAAAGTTTAAATTCGATAAAAAGCTTCCTTAAGAATTTAATGAATGTAGATTCTTTATGGCACATGTAGAATACATAAGCATAATATTAGGAACATAAAAGAAACTAAGGAAACATTTATATTGGATAATGGCTTTCCAGATTAAGACATGGTAGAGGAAAATAATACTTTGCAGATGGATCCATTTATGAAGGTTATTGGAAATTTGACTAAGCTAATGGAAGAGGTAGAATTATACATTCAAATGGAAATGCATATGAGGGAGAATGGAAAAATAATATGGCTAATGGTTATGGAGTTTTTTATGATTTTGATGGATCTAAATATGAAGGATAATGGTTATAAGATTAAAAAGTAAATTATAATAATATATATTATAGCATGGATAAGGAAAAGAAATTCTTATTGATGGATAAGAATATGAAGGATCATTTTTTTATGGAAAAAAATAAGGATAAGGAATAGTCAAATTTAATAATGGAGATATTTATACTGGTTAATTTGATAATGATTCTATTACAGGATTTGGAGAATTGAAATTTAAAGATGGTAGAATCTATAAGGGATAATTTAAAGATGGTAAAATGAATGGAAAAGGTCATTTTATTTGGCCTGATGGAAGAGAATATATAGGATATTATTTATATGATTTAAAACATGGGGAAGGAGAATTTAAATGGGCAGATGGATCTATTTATAAAGGAGAATTTAGAGATGGTAAATAACATGGAAAAGGTGTCTTTATTGATAAAAATGGAATTTAAAATGAAAGCTTTTGGAGTGAGGGAAAAGAAAAAAGATAAAAAAGTGAAACATGATTATTCAATTTTTATATTATTATTTCTTTTAAGCTAAAATTATTTATATTCATTTATTTTTGAATAAAATTACATATTTTTATTCATTGAATAATTATTATTATCTAATATAGTTAAAATTAATATTAAAAATATATTTATCATAATTGAAGCTCTTTTATAATGCAAAATCATTATTTAAATTCTTGCTTTTTTATTTTAAAGTTTTTGTATTACTTGATCAATATCTTCTTATTGTACTATTAATATATAATAAATTATATTATTTAAAGTCATTAATGGAGTCTATTAATTAATAAGGATATTTTAATAAAACTTTTTCATAATATTATACATTTGAGTTTATGTTGAATAATATCGAGAATACATTAATGCTGCACTTTTTTTATTCTTTTATTATCTTAGACTGACTTTACAAAAAGTATCTCCTTGCTTTATTAATTTGAATAACTATCAAATTAGATATTATGACTTTTTTTAGAGAGACTTTTATTTTTTAAATTTTACGAAAATTTGTTTGTCCTAAATTTTTTATTCATTTACAAACATAATCTATATTATATTTAATGTAAGAAAGTGTCATAGTATGTCCTTACTGTAAAAATTAAGCTTTTTTTGATCCAAGTTCATCATCAAATTTTTGTAAATCAAAGCAATGCAAAGGAGTTGTTATTGAATAAGGAAAAATTACATATGAAAATGAGGTTAATTTACATGAAGCTGATGAGCCTGGAAAAGAGTAAACTAGATTTGGAGGATATGAAAATATAATAGAAGACTTTAAAAGTTAAATCTGTGAAATGCTAGGAAAAAATGATTCTAATTAGAGAAAACAATTTTATGAGTAATTTGAAGAAGGAGAGAAATTAATAAAACAATTTTCAACTATTTTTTAAATGAATGAAGCATTTACAAATGATGCTATTTCTAAATATAGAACTTTAATGTTTGATTTTGTAAATGAAGTATCATAGCAATTATATATTATAGATTGCCAATAAAAGCTTTTTAGCTTTAGCTGTATTAGCTTATCATTTAATCATATCAGAAAGAAAAAATCAATAAAATCATGATTAAAGAATAGATAAGATCACCCAGAAATAATGTTGGAATATTGTACTTTTACATCCTAATAATTAGATTCAGTTTCTAAGGCTGTAAAAATAAAAGTATTAAATAATTAAATATTTTAATAGAATTAAGTTGACCCATAAAAACAAAATATTTGTCATTAAATTTTACAAAGGATTAAAGAACATAAATTACCATTTAATGAATATGAAATAAATTTAATATGTTGTTTTTGTTTTTGCTAAATCTCTTAAATATTATTATTATTTTTTATAGTAGATCTTCAACAAAACTATCTAAATATATCTTAATTATTCATCTTTATCCCAATCTAATCTCTTAAATAGATATGTAGCTTCAAATTAAGAATGAGATATATTATTATTTATATAAGTTTAAATCATCTGATTCACTCTATTTAGCTAGTGTATTATTTTTTGATTTTTAATGTACAAATTTCATGTTGTTCCAATTTTTATCTTCTTTTTTCAATTCATATTATTGATTTTTCTGCAATAGCTTAAATAACAAAGACTAATCTCAATTTAATATTTAAAGTCAAACTTGATTAAGATAGTATAATAAAGTTTATTTTATGTATTTATTTTATTTAAAAATAATATATTTTCTATTTCTCAAAAATATGTAGAATATATAATTTTCAATTAAATTATCATTTCTAACCTTATATTTGCTATTTAAAAAAATTCTTACTTTTTTAAATAAAAGTTTACCAATTTATGTAATAAATTCAAATTATTATTAGAATTATTTATTAATTAACTCAATTTTAAATTATTTATCTTTTGTAAATATTAGATAAATTATCATAATAATAATTTCTATAAATTAATAACCATTATTGTGGATATTAATAAATGAAATTAGAAAGTATACACCCTTAAATCTTTTATTTCAAAAACAAAATCTAAATAGTTGTTTGTAATCAAAACTCTTAAAAAACTGGACACTGGTCTGAATTAGAACACTAACTTTTTATAAATTTTCTCTCTTAATCTTAAGATTTTATAGAATAATCAATAATTAATAGAGTTTTTTTAACGAGTGAAACTATTACAATCCGAAGCTCTATTTATTAAAGATATAATTTAAATTTATTTTTTATAGATCTCATCATTAAAAGTCTAATCCGTTTAATAGAATCGGAAAAAAGATTATTGAGTCAATGAGAATTAATTACCATTATCATTAAATGAGATTCAAATAATACATTAAAAATGTATAAAAAAAATAAGATCTAAAAGTTCTAGATCTGTATTGGAGGAATAAATTGTCAAATAATTTAATAAATAAAATTTATTTTATGTTATATGCAATATTTTCTTCTTTTAAATAGTAAGTAGATTTTATTATATTTTTATTTATTTTAAATATCTATTATTCTAAATTTGTTTCATATCAAAATATATGATAGATTTAAGTAATAGGAAATAGTTTATGCTTAGAACTACTTACTCATAAATGATATTCAAATGCCTTTTATTTTTAAGAGTTATTGTCAATATTAAAATGGAAAAAATAAAGAATAATTCAAATTCTCATGTTAGATTATCTTAATTTATTAAAAAATAAAATGTTATCTTGTTATATTTATTTTGTTTTTTTAAATTAGAAAATAAAAATTGTATTTTTTTTGTCAATTTAATAGATCTATATTTAAATAAAATATTATTATTACAAATTGACTTATTTACATAAATATTAAAATCATAATTGTTTTAAAGTAAATTAAGAGCGTCGAACTGGTTTTAATTTAAGCATTCCAGGAGTTCTGGGTGTTGAAATAGGATATTAAGCAATAGGAGTATTAGGTGTTAATGGACTCTCATCTAGATTGCATTTTGTAACACAAAAAGGACTAAGGCTAGATAATGAACTTTTAGGACTGAACTAAGTAGAGATAGCAGAAAACTATTTGATTTACTATTCACATTATTATGCAAATTTCTTTAAAACAGGATTTTGTTTCCGAATTTTGAATTATATAGTTTTATAAGAATTTTCAGTTGCAAACCAAGGGTGATTTAAAGCTTCTTCTGCACTTAATCTTTAAATTGGGTTTTTATTCATTAAACCTTTTAAAAGATTCATACCAATTTCACTTAATTTACAATCTTCAAATTTAACTTTTGCATAGTAATTTCTCATTACAACATCATCATAATCTTTGCCATCAAATGGTGATTTACCTGCTATTAAAATGTACATAAGTATTCCAACACTATATATATCAATTTTAAAATCATAAAGTTTATCTTATAATAATTCTGGTGCAACATAACCTGGAGTACCACATCTAGTGAAAATATATTATCCATTTGGAGAATAATAATCAGCTAGACCAAAATCTCCAATACAAATATTATCAAGATCATCTTTGTTTCTTAACATAATATTTTCTGGTTTTAAATCTCTATGTAATATTCCTTTTTCATGAATTGTATAAAGTGCTTTTAATATTCGAAATATTAGCTTTGAACATTTTTCTTCTGAAAATGGAGGTGATTTCTTCATATATTAATGAAGCTCACCACCTCTTAAATATTCCAAAACTAAATATAAACAATCATCTCCTTCAAATACTTCATATAATTTTAAGACTGACTCATGCTAAATTTTCTTCATGATTGATATTTCTTTAATAATTGATAATCTATCAACTTTCTCCTTTAATTTATGCTTTCTAAAACATTTTATAGCATATTCTTCTCCATCAATTTTATTAGTTGCTTTATAAACCTAATGATAGTAAAATTAAATACATCTGCAAAATTTCCTTATCCTAATTTCTTCAATAAAGTATAACTCTATGCAAAATTTCTTTATATGCAATATTATCTCAAATAATTATACCATGGTTCAACATCTCCGAAGAACTCAAAATATTGTTTATGTTTAGAAATTCTAATTCCCAAACCTGCACTTTAATGTTTGACATATTCCATTGTAGAGTTGTCCAAATTAATCCATTTTTAGACTGTCTATTGGTTATTGATTGCAATATACCTATTGTTTAAAGTAAAGCAAGTAATGATTCTAAATGCCTAGAGTGCGTTTGCAAAACTCTTGATCTTTTTGAATGTACATAGTATCTTGCATTTATAATATTTCTTCATAACTTGGCAAACTATTAGAGACCCAGAAGGTTTCACTTTCAGGATCATCGAAAAATGAATCTTTTATTTTCACATCCATTTCTACTATAATATTAAATAAGTGAATCAAAATAATTACTGAGTTTATAAACCTTTACAATTTTTAAAGTTTATTGATTTTACTAAGTTTATATTTCTGAATTTTTTAAGCATAATTTTATAAGCAAACTCAAATTTTACTTAATTTTAGTCTCTATTAAAAGAATGCATATATTGAAATTTAAAATAGACTTTTAATAAAATGATATCAAAAGTGATAAAATCTACTTTGTTGATATGTATATATTTTAATAATTAAAAATTTTTTTAACTATGCTGTGTTGTAAAATATTTATTTACATAAAAGAATAAATTCATAAAAAAAAATGTCTAATTTATCTCGCTTATTTATTTATTGTTAATTTTATATTATAACAATTGAATTAATGATTGTAATATATAAATGCTTGTAATATAATTTTTACTAGCTAAAAACGTCCTAAAAAATGACAAGTATATTTTACTATATAATTGATAATAATTGTGTAATTTCATAATAATATATCACTTTTTAACTCCTCTAACATCAGCTTAGGATCTATCACAAATTGTATTCAAACCACCATGATTCTTATCTATAGTTGATGGACCTCCATTTGCATGAACACCTGTGTATAGGTTCTTATCATCATGAAATTTAACAGCATCAGCTTTTGTTCCAGTAAAATGAGGCCCACCAGCATTCAAAATTTGATTTTGAATATCCTAAACTCCTACTCCTTTTTTTTCAGCCATCATTTATAAACCTTTTTCAAATTAAGCATATGCTATTGTTCTAGCACCTGGTGTTGGTTTGATTTTTGCAAAGATCAAATCTACATCTGTTGATGTCAATTTCTTATCTAAGAGATGACAATCTTTTGAAACTTTTGCAAAGGTTTTTCCATCCATCTCTGGTTTATTTCCTGTAAATTACAAGAAGACTTATTATATGTTGCCCTACATATTTTTATTATTATTTTTGTTGCTAATTTCACAACTGCTTTTATAGTATAATAATATTATTTCCAGTAAATTATAATAATATAAATACAATTATTTGACATAATCAATTTGATGCCAATTTCATTAATTTTAATTACATTTAATTCCAATTTCCTATAGGAATTTCTAAAATTTGAGATAATTATGTTTGATGTCCTTTTAATAAGAAATATTTTAAAAGTGGATCACTTTCATTTTTTCTAGTAAGCAATCTAGATCTATTTGATTCACGAATAAACATTAAATCTAAAAGTATATTTCGAATTTGATCAATATACTTTAAATTTTTGCTTTACTAAGCTGCTATTTCTAGTTTCTTTAATTTAGTCCAAAAATGATAAAATGATGGAATAGGATAAAGTTTCTTAGTATTTGTTGGTGTATATATATGCTTATTACATACAAATGTTTTAGTCATATCAATAAGTATCTATTATTAAATTGGACTTATATATTATATAGTATTTAATAAATCCTAATCTAATCTTTCAATACTTAAAGTAAACAATAAAAATACTCCTTCACCATCTTCATTTTTGCAAAGCTCTAAACAAACTTCATAGAAATAATCTATTGCCTTTTTTCTATCCTTTTTATTTAAAATAATTGTTTGAATATATAATGAAAAAGAGTTTACTCTATCAAAATATTCTGTTAAAAATCCACTCTATTTTGCTTAATCTAAATTGGTAAGTAAATTATTAAATTGTAACTAAGAATAAAATTCTTCATTTATTTCTGTAATTGCATTTCCTAATAATGTAGGATCTAATTAAAATAAATCCATTTCTTCATAACCAATTAAGGGTCTTGGAATAATTTCATATTATCTGAGCTGTCTCAATTCTATCCTGTTATCAAATAAGAAATGAATGAAGTGTTCCATTAAATAATCTACATTTAAACAAATATATCTAATTTTTATTATTTAGTCTAAAATTTTTTCTATTAATATCAACTCCTCTTTGTTTCTTAGCAATCTCCAATATAAAAACAATAAAAATGTTTCAATATTCATGTAATAATCTAAAGTAATAACTAATGTTTTTATTAAATAAATTTCATTTTCTTTCTTAAATATTTATTCAGCTAATTATAAAAATAGTGAATTAACGTGAATGTTAAAAAAATCATTACAAGTTTCTAAATTTTTTAAATTTATATGTAACTACATCCAATTTTTAGAAGATGCATTTAAAACAATTTAAACTTAATCACACAAGATATTATTGTTCACACTATTATATTTATTAAATGTTTACTTTTCAATTATTTTTTTCGCTTTTTCCAAACTCAAGTGAAATGGAAATTTTGTTGATTCTCTTTTCTAAGATGCTTCTTATTTATTTGTCTCCTATTATTATTTCTTATAAACTATTGTTTCTTATTGTTAATCACCTGCAGATGGTCTGAGCCAGAATATTTTCATTAAAAAAATTATAAATTTCCCAAAATTAATGAAAGATCAATTAATGATACATGTTATATAAGAAATATCTAATTAAAATATATTACTTTAACACTAAATGTAATATTTAGATATCAAATTAGTTGTTATTTCATTGTTTTTAAAATAAATATTATTGTTTAATTATTTAAATTATATGTTCTTGAAATGATGTTTAAATTATTCCTGATATCATTATTAACATTAATGTAGAGATTCAACTTGAAATTTAGGTTTGAATGAAAAAGAAAATTTGTTTACCAAACTTAATTTAAACTTGAAATATTATCTTTTTCCATAAATATTATTTCATTTTGAGAAATCTAAAATGATTTTTATAATTTAAAAAATGAGAATATTAAATGTATTATAATCCTTAAGATTTATTTTAGATATCTTAACTTTAGTATTTTAAGTATATCTATAAATTAGAGATATTAATCTATTAATTTTAAATAAACTTACTAATAGTGTTGATATATTCAACTCCAATAATTTTAGATCTTGAATAAAAGTTATATTTATCCTATAATAATTTTAAGGATTTGTCGAAATTATTGATAAAAGAAATAAATTATCTCGGTTCTTAATAAATAATTCAGTTCTAGTTTTATAGAAACATTTTTTTAAGAACTAACACATCTAAATAGTGATGTTTGACGATATGAATTAATTTCTTAACAGATGAGTTAATTATATTAATTTTTTCATTAAAAATGAGTTAAGAGCGTTTAGAATAAAGACCAGAGACATCTAAATGTTCTCGATTAGAAAAAAGAAGAATGACAAATTAGAATTCTTAAAGAAATCGTACAGCTTTTTAAAGCAGAACAGCTTAAAATTTTAATCCAAATAGTTATAATGGAATGACATTAGAAGAATATTTCAGAAAAAGAGGATAAGATAATAATAATGCATAAGTAGAGAAAAAAAAAAAAGTACAACACTTTAGTAATTTAGTTTTTGGTTACTAGCAATGAGTTCTTTAAAGAATTCCAAAATTAAGATGCGATGAGAAGAACATACATGGGAGATAGCAAATATGTAAATATGAAATAGGATTTAAAAAAGAAAATATAAGATTATGACAAGGATTTATTTTAAAAGTATGCTAATAAATTTGATTTGGGAAATGGTTTTGGAAAGTGAATTAATTTATTTATATTCACAATTTTTAATAAAATATATAAAAGATCTCAGTAAATTTAAGCAATATGTATTTACAAATTTTGCTTTAAACAAAAAATGAAATTAATATGTTTAAATTATTAAGCTCACTTATATAGTCACAAATATGTATCAAAAATACAAAAAATAAAAAATTGATGAATAAAAATGATAATTTTATTAATTCTTAATATAAGGTTATGCTCAGATTGGTTAACCAGAATCTGAATAAAAAAATCAGAATTAGTTTAATCTTTGGGTAAAATATCTGTTGAAAAGTCTATTTACAAAAATTTATAATTAATCAAAATGATTATCATAAGCCAAAAATTAGAAAATTCCAGAAATTTTGCTATAAATTATATATAAATGATGAGATCATAATGTTTTTGTTGATTAATATATTTTAATATTTAAGAATTATTATGTTTTCATCAATCTGAAAGTATAAAATGCTAATAGTAAAACATCCTGGTTTTAGATTTTAAGCATTTATAATAGGGAAATAT